GAGGACTTGTCCTTTTATCCCGTGACTATTGAGCTTACTTAGGAGCCTTTGATGAGGAACTTTATCAAAAGCTTTCTGGAAGTCAAGGTAAACAGCATCTATTGGGTCCCCCTTGTCCACATGTTTGTTCACTCCCTCAAAAAACACTAACAGGATAGTGAGACAAGATCTTCCCTTACAGAACCCATGCTGAGTCTGCCTCAGTAGTTTTTGTTCATCAATCTGCCTACTAATTCTTTCCTTAATAACAGTTTCCACCAACTTACCCGGTATCGACGTCAGACTGACTGGCCTGTAATTTCCCGGATCGCCTCTGGAACCCTTTTTAAAGATGGGGGTGAAGTTAGCTACCTTCGAGTCCTCAGAAATGGAGGCAGATTTTAATGAAAGATTACATATTTTTGTCAGGAGATCCACAAGTTCATATTTGAGTTCTTTCAAAACTCTCGGATGTATGCCATCTGGGCCTGGTGATTTATCCGTTTTAAAGTTGTCTATCAGTTTTAGGACCTCCTCTCTCGTCATCTCAATCTGACTCAGGTCTTTTAACACCCCTCCCAAAATCAGCGGTTCTGGAGTGGGCAAGCACTTCTCATCTTCCACAGTGAAGACAGAGGCAAAAAATGCATTCAGCTTCTCAGCCATTTCCCTATCATCCTTCAGTACTCCTTTTACCCCTTGGTCATCCAAGGGCCCCACTGCCTCCCTGGCTGGTTTCCTGCTTCTATTGTATTTGAAGAAAGTTTTATTGTTGGCCTTTATGTTTTTTGCTATATGCTCCTCATATTCCCTCATAATGCAGTAAGAGTTGGATAATACATACCATACCCAGTGGCATAGACTACAGTCCTGTTCCCTTCATAAAAATACCTTACTGAGAGGCGGGGCTGTGGAGCAGCGAGACGGTTGATCACCAGTTCTGCTCCCGGAGATCACCAGTATTTTGCTCCTTTTAGGGGTGTTTCGGGGGATTCCGTTCTCCACTGGACCTCCTGGAGAGAGGTGCGGTGCAAGGGACTTGATTCAGGCTCCCCACGAGTGGCAGCGAACGGGTGGAAGCCCAGGATCGTCCCAGTTGCAAGGAGCGAAATAGTGTGGTCATGGCAGCCATGATTGCACCAAGCTGCAAACACCCCCACAAGAGAGGAACCAGGAGTCTCATCCATAACACCAACAAAGTAAATCACCGTGAGTACTTGTAAAAAGCAACATTGAAGAATCTACCATTTTCTCCACTAAGCCCCCTTTAAATCTTTAAAAGAACAAGGAAGGAGAGGTAGAATTCCCCCCTCCTTCTGTGACGCAGCGGCTACTACCGTGCCAGTAAGCCTGTGTTGTTAAACGCATCCGGGGGCAAAGAGGATACAAAGATAATTGTTTAAACTCTTTCTATTCTTAGGTTTCTGCTACTTTTCACTTTTAATGGATACAAATGGTTATTTCTCCCTGCAAATCTCTTGGATGTTAATGGAAATGCAAATGACTAACAGAGGATACTTTTCACTAAAGGGAGTACAGATTGTCCTTGGGAAAGAGAGACATTTAAATCTGAACTTTCTGTTCTAAAATAGTACCCTAACTACTAAGTTTCCCATTGAAATTATTAAAAACTATGCTGACTAAATGCCATTATAATAACTGTTGGTCACCTGACTTGTGTTGAGGGATTCTTGCATGTGAACTTGTCTGGAGAAACTGTTATCGAGGAAATGCAGTTAAGCTGGTGAGGCTATTGAAAAACAATGCAAGCTGTATTCGGAAAAATGCCGGCTGATGTGTCTGGAAATAGCTCTGGTGACACCTACTGGACACAGATATTTCGTGATGAGCTTAAGTCCATAATTTCACCAGCTGTCAGCTTGGCAGTGGAGAAGATTTTTCTTTTGATTCAGGATGACTGGCAGGCTTCACCAGCACAAATTGAAACCATTCAAGATTTGGATCAAGACTTTAAGCAAGACTTCAAGCAAACAGATGGACCTCGCCGAAGAATACACTAATCAAAACAGAGAAAAAACATGGACTCAGGGAAGCACAGCAGAGCATCTGAAGAGCAACTAAAAGCTGGAATCTTTAAAGTTCTTAAGGGGAAAATCGTTCTAAAAGAAAGGGAATTTATGGAGTTCATAACCACTTCAAGGATGGAATATGGAAGGCGAGATTTATGGGAAAATCTCTTCATTTATAAGAATGAACAACATAGACTTAAAATCTAGGGGGAAAATTCAGGGGGAAAACGAGATTTAAACTATAAATAAGAATGGGTTCTGGACCCTCTTGGTCTGCATTACTGGCTATGATTGGTTAAAGCTCTGTATGTGTTAAGTTTGGCTATGTAATATTTAAGTTTAGATTTGATGCTTATAAATTGATAGTGGCAATTAGATTTGTATAAGGGATTGCAATTTAAAAGTATCCTGATTGGGATTTGCGGAGGTAGGATGATATTGAATATTATATACATTGTATAAATTAAAAATGAAAGAGACCTTCTGTACTTCTGTATTACATCAAGACTGATGATGGAAAAGCGATGATGCATACTGAATGATTGTAAGGGGAAAGTTACCTTAAAATTTTACATTGATGATGTAATCAGAATATAAGATTAGAAAGGATAAGAGAATTTTATATAAGTTTAGGGACTTTTGAAATTGTTTAAATAATGTTTAAATAGTAGTAAAGGTATATCTTTAAACTGCTGAACTGCAAGAATTAGGTTAGATTAGATTGAACGGTAGGTAGGAAATCAATTTATGTATGAGGTATTTTTAATAGGTATATAAGTATAAACTCTCATCTATGTGTGTCTGAAAATAATAAAAATTGTTTGAAAAAAACAACAACAACACCTGTTTATTTGTTTAAAATATTTATATGCCTACCTTTCTACTGACCAGCTCAGGACCCATTGTGGGTAACAACAATTATATAAAATACAATGCAACTCTATACAGTCACAGAGTTAAAAACAATTGAATATTAAAGTAATCAGAATAAAATATATTAAAAACACCCAATGTACCTAATAATAGAAAACACCTTTTGCCCAGAATCAGACTGCCCCTAAAGTGCTCTTTGGAATAATTCTGCTTTATAGCCTTGCCAGAAAACGGAGCAGGGGAGAGGAGACTGTTTCACACACATGGAGCAGTCTCTGAAAAAGCCTGAGGCTGGCCTATTGCAGATCATGCCTTAGACAAGGGGGGGGGCAATAACACTAGATCCTGCTGGGAAGAACAAAGCTGCAGCACAGGAACATACAAGCAGAGGTCATTTCGCGGGGGATCGCAGTTCCCCCGGGTGAGGTACGGGGGGCGGGGCACATGACGAAGCCCCGCCCCCTGCTTCCGGCCGCCCCGCTTCCGGCCCTCATTCAGCCAGGAGGAGGCAGGAGAAGAGGGAGGGTAAGTTGCTTCCTCCCTGCCTCTCCCCACCCCTGCCTGCCTGGGGCCAGGGAGGGCCTTCGCGGGGCTTCCTTGCACTCCCGCCGGCCTTGCAGGTCCACCGCCGGGCCCTTCATGGGGCTCGGCAGTGGAGCTGCAAGGCCGGCAGCGGCGGCCGGGACCGTTGGGGGTGGGATGTGTGGCCTTATGACACACTTCCGGTGATGTCAGGAGGTGTGACATATGCTAATGAGTTATGCTAATGAGTTCCCCTAGCTCTTTTTCTACGAAACGACCCCTGCATACAAGGAGAGGGCTGCCCTTAAAGTATGTGAGCCAAAGGTCATGAAGGGCTAAGCCCCAGCCCCTTGATTTGGACTCGGAAAGGAATAGGCAGCCAGTGAGACCTCAGAAGAGAAACAATACTGTACTGCTGAATAACCTCAATCACAAAGTGGCTGCCACATTATGCGCTAGCTGAAGTTTCTAGATCATTTTCAACGGCAGCCCAGATGAAGCACATTATACTAATCTAGCTTCAAGGCTTGTCTATACACAATACCGACACTGGATCACTTTAACATGTTAGTTTTTCTTAATGGAAATCAGTAGTAGAGCTGATGATACGTATGTGGGCTAAACGTGAGCTTGTTAATGTTTAAATACTAAAATTTTAGATAATTTCTTGTTTGCTTTATTAAATGAAGTATGCACCCCTGGCTTCAGGATGGTACTGATTTCTTGTTGATGAGATGGCAGGGAGAGTACTTTTATGATTCCACAAGACAGCACGGTGTTTAGTAGTAACCACAGTTTTTGGGAAACAGAGTATGTCATTTGTGTCATGGTTTAAATCCATGTAAGTTGTCACTACATAAAATAGTCAATCCTCTTTGTCTTTCTCACATGTGTTCTTGAAATATTTATGCACAAACTTTCCAAAGGGATGCACAATTGGAATCAGTAGAAATGCATTGTTTCAAAACCATGAGGTGCTCTTAGTGTTGAGTCTGTTCATGTCAGTTGGAAGTCTTGGTAAGAGTGAATGTGGTGTAGCGGTTTGTGTCATATTAGGATCTGGGAGCCCTAGGTTTGAAACTCCATTCTGTTATGGAAGCTTGCTGCATGGCATTGGGCCAATCACACACACTCAGCATAACCTACCTCGCAGGTTATGTTTTGCTTTTGTTTCTCTTGGAACTGACAGAACAGATTTCTTGGCTTATGCAACACCTTGGCTAGGACAGTTGGTTGCAATCCGATAGGCTCCAAAATATCAGGGATCTCCCTCCCTTTTGCAGCACTTTTAATTTAAGTATTTTAAAAGAATGTACGTAGCAGTCTTGAACCTCACAGGGTTGCTGTGAGGATAAAATGGAAGAGAGGAAAATGACAACATAAGCTGCCTTTTGTCCCCATTGGGGAAATAGGTGGGGTATAAATGAACAAATAAATGAAACCATCAGTCTCTTAATCAAGATCTGAAGTGATCGTATCTGTTTTTTCTTTCGTTGGAAATCCATATTTCTATTCTGAAACTATGTATTAAATTTACTTTAATGACAAACTATTTTTATATCTTCATTTGATGAAAATATGTATTTTGGCATGTAAGAAAGATAGTAAAGCTTAAAATAGTATGTTAAGGAGTACTGTAAACTCTGAATAAATATTGTGTCGTGTTTAGATGACAGATGAATTGAATCTTGGAATTCCGTAAGTAGGTATTCCTAGAGTATACTAATGAGCAATTCTAAGTTTGTTTTCTGATTTCTAAGTAGTCTTACTTGCTGTGTTAATGGATAAACATTTTCTCTTTATGTGTCTGTGTGTGATTAGATTCGAAGGTCACATAGAGATTTGTCCGCCAGGTATGAGCCATTCAACATATTTGGTCAATAAGAGTGTACTAGAAGCCATAAGAGCACGACTTGCATCCTTTCATGAACTGCTATTGGAGCCCCCCAAAGTAAGTATCAAGAACATGCATGCTGTGTTTGAATACGACACTTTCTGTAAAAACTGCCAAGCTGTCTTCTCATTTGAGTGTACATGTTTGATTTCAATCCTCCTGCAATAACAAAACCACATGAGGTGATTTCTTGGAATCTGCATCAGTGGGCCCCTAGATGGAGAATACCAGATAGGCTAGAGATTTTTTATAATATCACTGCTGATCTTATCCTTTGGTTTTGTATCTTACTAGATTTTATGCCTCTGGTTTTATTTGGCTAGTTTCTGTTATTTATTGATTGATTTTTGTTTTTTCATGTTGTAAACCACATCATGAAACCTCTGTGTAGAGTGCAAAATAGAAATGCCTCAATATCTGAATCCTGTTTTGCAGTACCTCCACTTGTCCATGGCCCTTGGTTGTCTATTTTCCCTGGCTTGTGTCCTCAAGCTAGGAATTCACACAAGACCAGAACATACTTGGGGAACATGGAGAGAGGAATCTAAAGATGTAAGAAAGAGAGGATTGCCACAGTTTGAAACCAATAAGAGTTGGGAGGTTGTGGCATAGAAGCTGTACCAGTGCTCCTCCCGTTATTCCCATGTGTTTACAAGTATTTTTTCATAGCTTTGGCTATCATGGTGTGGAAGGAATAGGAAGTCCAGATGTTTAGTACTTCTGTGCATCTCTGCACCATTCAAAAAAGAACTTTTGAATCCCTCCCTTCCTAAGCTATGTTAAAATTATGCCACCAGTTTGGCATCTTCAAGGAGTTATGGGAAGGAAGATGTAAAAGTTCTGGTTTTTTATACTAAGCTGCATAGGAATAGTGAGTCACTTGCTTCCCACTGTATTATCATGTCTGGAGCGGTCTGTTCCATCCCTTGTCCAAGAACATTGTTCAGCTCTTCAGTTTTCTAGCAAGAATGGAAGGTAATGGCACATTGTTCTTTCTCCTTACATAAATACCACTGGTTATGGCCTCCATCTGAATTCACCCTATGTTCTTCCTCCTCCTTGCTGGTCAACTCATGATAACTTTCTGAGCCACAGAGACATTATCCTTGGCCAGTGTTTTCAGCCCCTTTAAATACTGTGTGGAGAGCAATGTTCCCTCTAAGCTGTGGAGTCTTGTGAGCAAAAACTCTACTTTGTGAGCTGCTGCCATTAAAGTTGTGAGTGAGAGATTTGGCTGCTGCATAAACTAGTTTGTTCTGGAGCCATCCTCCCTGAGCGAAGACAAAAATGTGTGAGCTGGAGGCTAAAAAACTGTGAGCTAGCTCACACTAACTCAGCTTAGAGGGAACACTGGGGGAGAGCATCCCAGGTGTTGTTGATCAGGGGAGTAAGATACCTTTGTATGGGTTGTTCCTTCTGCTTGCTCTGTGGGCAATAGGAAAAAATCACCATGCAGAAAAATAATTATCTAGCCATCATACGATGTACTAAAACCAGCAATGAGGTTTTAATGCTATTCTCCATGAAGTGATAGTGTCTATGCATTCATTTCACATTAATCTTGCTTTCGTATATCATTTACAAAGATTGACGTTAACATCAGTAATACAGGCTTGCGGCGAAATAAGCCAAAATATTTAAGTAATCAACAGGCATGTCAGTGCTTTCCTCACAGTCCAAGACTTTAAATTTGTTGGAGAAAACAACTTGCTCCTGGAGAATCTAGTGTTTTTTGTTGATGCGTGTAATGATTTCATGTTTAACTGTGTGTGTGTGTCTTTAAAAGTTTGGTTGCATGGCTGTGTGAGAATCTAGAGTGGAGTGGTTGAAACAGGCAAGTGGTGTGATTGGTGAGTGACAGAGAGGGGGAGGGGGTTTGGAAGTGATGCTGTGTGGATGATACGTATGTCTATCAGGAGTGACAGTTGAAGGTTTGGGCAGTTGAATAAGACAGTTGATGAGGAGAGTTGAACAGTTAGCTAGTTAAGTTCTGAGTTCTGTGAGAGAAGCAGGAGTTCAGTTAAGCTCTGTGTATGAAAGAAGTGAGAAGCAGTTCTGTGTGAAAACAGTTAAGCTGTCTGTTGATGTTGTTCAGAGAAGAAGAAAAGTTATAAAAAAGTCTGAGTGACAGGATAAAAAGAAACAGTAAACATATATGGCCTAAGGAAAAAAGTGTTACAAAGTTACATGCCAAAATCCCTGACAGTGTGAGCGAAAAGTGTGAAAACCCAGTTGGAATTGTTCAGTATTTACCCATTCCTAGATACAGAGTCCTATCCTGTTATTTACGAATTATTTCAATAAATCTTCTTTTATTTAAGTCTGCCAGCTCTGAAAGAAATAATTTCTCAGGAAACACATAGAACCTCATGAAAGCCTAAAACCTCGACCTACCTACCCAGTGATAGAAATATTATAGGATAAAGGTTTGGAAAGCCTTAAATTTCCTGGTGGCAGCCGGATATACACATTAGAACAAAACATAAAGAACACTTTTAAAGTAAAACCAGACCTCCCCAGTAAAGGGGTCGTCACAATGCGCCTCCAGATTAATGGAACGTTTCGAAATCTCTTCTTCAAAATCACAACAAGGATATCTCCACTTTACTAAGTGGAACCCATATTCAGAATGCAGTTATTAATGTCTTATACGCAGCATCAACCTTCTCTCTATTCTTCATATCTTGACAAGTACTACTTGTCAACCTGCTTGTGGTTGACAATGCCTGTTGATTACTTAAACATTTTGCCTTTTTTCAAAAGCCTGTATTACTGATGTTAACGTCAATCTTTGTAAATGTTATATGAAAGCAAGGTTGATGTGGAATGAATGCATAGACACAATTATAGCATTTCACAGAGAATAGCATTGAAACCACAGTCCTGGTTTTAGTACATCATACAGCTAGATAATTATGTTTCTGCACGGTGATTTTTTCCCCTATTGTTCCAATATTTGTACATCGAGCACTCCCCCTTTCATATGGTTGCTCTGTGGGCAAGGCATATGCACCTATTTTTGCAAAGGCTTTCTCTGTCCTGAGGAGGTGCTTGACCCCCTCAGTCCACGACACCCTTCTCTATGTCTGGATAAGATTCTGTAGCTCTAGCTGCAAGAGAAGCAGCGAGAGAAAATGCTGGAACGTGTCCAGAAATTGACAGCTGCCCTGCTGCCTCCTGCTAACTAACAGCAAAGGTGGGAACAAAGAAGAAGTTGCGAATGGAACACACTCGACACCAACTGGTGTTGAGCCACCACGAGAAGACAAGTTGGCTGCTGCTCATAACTCCTGGGACCAACCTCGTGACAGTGCTTCTTCCACTGCTGCTCTGCTTCTCCTGCTAGAGCACCAGTGGTGGACAGGCCTGTTGAGACAATTACACGCGGCCTGTCCCCCCTTTGAGGCTCTGGGACAAACTGCTACAGCAACAGCCAGTACCTCTTCTGCTGCTGGTATCCTCTTCTCTACAGGAACACCAGCAGGGATGAGGAGTGGACAGCAGGCCCTTTCCTGCTCCAAAGCACATTGGCAGACAGGCCCATTGGTGGAGCCATCTGCGTCTCACCTGAGCCCAGTGCCTTCGCCTTTCGACTAGAGAATGCCAGGAGGCTCCAACGAGTACCAGCACTGAAATGGCATTGCCCAACCCACCATATTCCTCAGTTATGGAAAGGGATCTGCAAGGCAGTGGGGGGGGGCAAAGGGAGGACCTCGTTTGTCTTTGGAGGGGTGCTTTGCCTTCTTTCCCTCCTCTTCCCAATTATCCTTATGGGGCTTCATTTCACCTGAACATCTGTGCCTACATTGCACAGAACATGGTGAAGGACATTAAATAGGATTTCCCCCCCCCCCAAAAAAAAATCAGAGATACCATAGTTGGAGGGATGAGGACTCCTTCCCCTCTCCTCCTCCTCATTCCCCTCCCCAAGAGAGTGAAGTGGGGGATCCAGCGTAGTCCACTGCCATTCCTTGCAGGAGCCTGGCTCCTGTTCCCCGGATCACAGCACTGCCCATGGGGCTAGCCATCACCTTCTAGGCCCAGCAGACTACAAGGCCAGCATTCTGCCCCAGTCTCGGGTCTACAGAACTCCCTCTGGCCATTTGGAATCACTGCATTTAATCCTGGCTTCAGACTCCATGGCTTCAGATTAGGAAGGGGGGGGGACAGGCAAGGGAAGGCAGCTGCCTCTACCAGGCTGTTCTAATGGGAGGTCACTGTGGCCTAAGGTTTGCAGGACAAGCTACCCCAAGGCTCCCCATACCCCTCAAAGGGGGCGTGCCAGATTTCTTCACCAACTGTCTCAGGTTCTGCCATTCTCCTCTCCTCCACTTAAGTACCAGCAGGGACTGGGAGCACACAGCCATCCCTCTCCTGCTCCAAATCAACAGTGACAGATGGGTCCATAGACAGAGCTACTTGCAGTTCTTTCAAGCTGGGCTTTGCATCCTGCTGACACTGCATGACCTGGAAGCCATGGCAGGTACCGGTGTGGCAAGTCCCTTCATCATGCTACCCCCACTGTGGCAGCCCTGAAGGTAGTGCTAGTGGATTCCTCAGTTCACAGTCATAGTTTCAGGTGCACTCCTGTCCCAAAACAGGGTCACCACTGTTTGGTGTAGTGGTTAAGTGCGCGGACTCTAATCTGGGAGAACCGGGCTTGATTCCCCACTCCTCCACTTGCACCTGGCTGGATGACCTTGGGCAAGCTGTAGTTCTGATAAGAGCTGTTCTTGAAAAAAGAGCAGTTTCTGTCAGAGCTCTCTCAGCCCCACCGACCTCACAGGGTGTCTGTTGTGGGGAGGGGAAGGGAGAGGAGTTTGTAAGCTGCTGTGAGACGCCTTTGGGTAGTGAAGGGTGGGGTATAAATCCAATCTCCATCAGGAAGTGATTTCTTTTTTTTACTTCAGTGGGCAAAGTTTTGGCTGTCCGAGCACAGCATTATCAGGGCCTCCATGACCTGAAGGCAGACTGGTTCCAGGAGGACTTGGAACCAGGTGAGTGGGCTTTCGCCCCCAGTCTTCCGTGAAGTGACCTGGACACCTGCCCTTTTCTGCTTGGACTTCCTTAAGTCCCCAGTCAACAATTTGGGGCCTGCCCAGTTTCCCACTGGAGGAGACAGAGTGTGAGAATGCTTTCTTAGCCCTCCAGCCCCATGTTCCCTGTCACTGGCCATCACTCACACTCTCAACCAGATACACAGTAAATGAGCACAAGTCATCTTCATGGCACCTACTGGCCAGGAAGAACCCTGTTTGGGGGTGATATCACGGCATCCCTAGTGGATCTTTCCTGCCTGTCCACGGTATCCTCCTATAGGGTTCTCACTCCCATCACAATCCCAGATGGTTCTGCCTATCTGTACGAAAATTAGAAATAGGATGTAAGAGCAACTTGACTATCCTGAAGAGGTCATCAATGCATCTGGACTTGTAGAAGCCCCTCTACCCACAGGTTCTACAAAACCACTTGGGAGGCATTCCACAGAGGCGTTGCCGGAAGAAAACCAGCAGACCTGCAACAGAAGTATCAGAGGTCTTTTGCTTCATCCGGAATGGATGGGACCGGGACTTCTGGCCTGACCCTCTCAGATGCATAGTCTGGTCTTTGGTTCCCTGTCTTGCTGCAGAACAACTGCCTACCAGTCTTGGCCATGTAAAGCTTTTCCGAATGGGGGCAACTCTATCCAGTCATCCCACTCAATGTCATTTTCCTTTGCAGGACATCCACAAGGTGTTGAGAGTGCTGCACAAACATCCTCTTGATCCTAGGAGATCAGTTCCACTGAAGGCTATTTCTTTCATTGTTGCCTTATCATCATCATCATCATCATCATCATCATCATCATCATCATCATCATCATCATCATCATCATCATCATCATCATCCTTTCCATTTATTAGTCGCTTTCCCCAGTGGGCTCAAAGCGATGTACAGTTACTCAATATAGACAAGGGTCTAACAATGTTTGTAGGGGAAAGGGAAGACAACATATATTCATTTAATTGCACACGGCGTCACTGCCCGGGGTAGACGTCTTCTGGCTTGGCTCCGTCATTTTCCGCACGGCTGCTTGTTGACCAGGCTTCAGGACCCGTATGTCAATCACCACACTGCCACGACATCCACTGCAGGGATTCTTTCGTAGCCAAGAAGTTATTTCACCTTTCCGAACCTCGACCAGGACGTTCGACCGTCAGCTAACACCCTCCCACAAGGGAGATTGGCGTGCCCACCCTCTCTAAGGAGTGGTTCCCATTTTATCTACTCGCTGAAGCTTTCAAATCGCTGGGTGGATGATGAGCTGGGGACAACAGGCTGGCTGCTCACACCAGTGCGGGGCTCGAACTAACACAGTTCAGATGTTAAGACAGTGGGATGTACCCACTGTGCCACCGCTCCCCTTTTCATCTTCAGTATAAAGGTTTTAAGACTTTGCTGCCCTCTCAATCAGAGATGAGCCTTGTTTCTTTCAGAAGAATCAGGCCCCTTATCCACTGACCCTTCCCTCATACCAAAGGGATCATGAGATACATCGACCTTTATTCTATCCGTATCCCAGCTGTCTTAAGGAATGGGACTGTCATCTCAGATTTCTGGAGGACACTCCACATCTACATTAAGAGGACAGTGTCTCCTTATTTGTCTCCCTCTTGCCCAGTCGCATGGGAAAGAAGGCATCATCATTACCTATTGCCGGATGGATCAAAGCATCCGTTTCCCTTGCTCACAATGTTCAGAATCTTCTGTCAGCCGCAGCAGTTATTGCCTGTCCTTCTAGAGTGACTGGCACTTCTGCAGTGATGTCCACCACGGCATCCATCACATAAAGCTGTCGAGCAGAGTTTTGGGCATAGTCCTCTACTTTTGCAGGGCACCGTGCTCTAGACAGAGTTGCCTCAGCTGAGCCTTCTCTCCCTTATTCCATCTGGGATGATAGAGCTTTTCAGTGTCCCAGACAATGATACCTTCCTCTCCTGATAAGAGGATGAAACGTCGTATTTACCATGAGGGTTTCTCCCCGTCAGTGAATTGGAAGGTACCTTCCTTCACCCAAGTTGGTGTAGTAGGATTAGGAGAGGAACTCTCTAGTTTGACACAGCATTCTATCAGGTTTTTCCCCTTACAGTATCCCCAGTTACTAGTCTCCAGGGAAAAGTCTATCTCCATTTAAGGTTGCAAACCAGAGGTGGATCCATCATCCTCTGAAGCTTGGTAAGACATGAACTGGGAGGGTTGAGCACCTCTGCAGGACAGTGAAAGTTTTTGCAGAAAATCTGCACACACCCTGCCCAGGGAGCTGTCAGAACCCACAGCCAACAACGGCATACACATTTCTTTAGAAAGGTTATACTTTTATTGAAGAGCCATAGATGCATTAACATAGTCACTGTTAAGAATAGCAGTTGCCTATTGAGTCTAATGAGATACAGGGCATTCGTATGCAACCCCCCCCCCCACGTAGTACCCAATTAGATGGGTTCCCGCGCAAGGGCATTTGGCAGAGAACAAACGGCGGCAGCAACTGGGAAAACCCACAGCCAACAACGGCATACACATTTCTTTAGAAAGGTTATACTTTTATTGAAGAGCCATAGATGCATTAACATAGTCACTGTTAAGAATAGCAGTTGCCTATTGAGTCTAATGAGATACAGGGCATTCGTATGCACCCCCCCCCCCCCCCCGCGCGCGCTGGCCAATTAGGCACCCTCCCGCGCGCGGGCTAGAGCCGGCAAGCGTTACTGTGCGAAGCTGGGAATTTGTTCAGCTCCCACGGTCCGGCAGACAACACACATCGCCACCTGTACTTCTTTAGAGATAAGCATTTCAGCGCAGAGCAGAGAGAGAGGAATGCGAAAGTAATTTACACAGACACTGAAAGAACATCCCAACCCCCATGGCAGCATAGCTGACAGGAGCAAGGGGGAGGCACAACCCATGCAAGGATGCCTTCCAATCCACTGGTGGATGATACCCGCACGGTAAGTTCAGTGCTTCATTCTCCCCTCCACCCCAAGATCCTACAATATCCTCAGATCCTGCAGGACTGCAGAGCACATACTTCTTGCCTCAGCAACTGAACCCCGTTCTCCCTGCCTCTTTATGTCGTCGCGCTACCAGTGGAGGGATGTTGGTGACAGAGCAACAAGGACGTATCAAGATGCTGCTAGTTTTCTCTGAAATGCCACACCAAGTGAAACCAGATCTTGGGGGACGAACCCTTCCTTTCATAGTCTCCGCATCTCACAAATAATCAGGTGGCTGGGCTTTCACTATGGGCAAGCCTGTTGGTGAAACCTCTGTTCTGTCTGTGTTAAAGTTTCCCAGTCCATTAAATCATAGAAGACAACCTGTGTAACTAAAATTGTTTTCCTTCTGTAAGTAGAGTGCAGAAAGCTGCATACTTGGCCATGTTGACTACATTATTATTATTATCATCCGTGAATCTTCAGTCTCTTAATATTTAACTCTCTTTTTTTGTGTGTAGAAAAGTGTAATGAAGACAACGTGGGGAGTGTTGGATCCACCTGTCGGGAATACCAGATTAAATGTGATTCGGTTAATATCCAGCCTCCTGCAGACAAACACAAACAATATCAACCTGGAGCTTATAGAGCTTAATAGCATAGGAGTTATACTGGTAAGAATATAACATACAAAATTATATTTTCTGTTTACCTTTCCTAAGATGGCAATATTCCTTTTTTTTTTAATTAAATTGTGGCAGTAGGTCACAGTCCTGCTAATGTACTGCAAGACACAGGTAATATACTGTCTTCTAGTGTCCCTGAATAACATAAAAGCAATCAGTCTTTCTGTTGCTTGTACTGAGGTCCAGACTATGCAATAGGCAGATGATCTGAAAATGGAGCTCCCATATCTTTTTTTAAACACTGCAAGGCAGATTGGGTGGGGGGGGGGCTATGACCTTTTGTAAAGGTAAAGGTAAAGGTTCCCTTGCTCGAAAGCCAGTCGAATCCAACTCTCAGGTTGCGGTGCTCATCTCCGTTTGAAAGCCGAAGAGCCAGCGCTGTCCGAAGACGTTTCCGTGGTCATGTGGCCGGCATGCCTAAACACCAAGGTGCACGGAACGCTGTTACCTTCCCACTGAAGTGGTCCCTATTTATCTACTTGCAATGTCTTGCTTTCGAACTGCTAGGTTGGCAGGAGCTGGAACTAGAGATGGGAGCTCACTCCATCATGCGGCACCCGGGTCTCGAACTGCTGAACTACCGACCTTCCACAGCCTGCCGTTCAGCATCTTAACCACTTGAGCCACCGCAGCTCCTTTTGTAGGCTACAGCTAATGAGCAGAGGTGTTTACCTGTCCTCAAGGGGGAAAATAATAGCAGGAGGGAGGATTTTGACCAGGCATGGGAGAAGAGAACACACATATTTGTACTTTCTCCTCCTGACAGATGCAGTTCAATTTTTAAAAAGCAATCTATAGTTTGGCCATTTATGATATTTGATTTGAAAGATGATTCATTAAAGGCATCCACAATAAAACAGATCACACCTCTGGGATATAGTGCGCCTGCACCGACCCCTATCGGTATAATCGAAAGCAAAAGGGATTTTCACATCCAGTCCCGAGTCACGTGCAGGGCTCCAGTGCGCATGACTACAGGAGGGGCACGACAATCCCACCAGTTCTCTTCTGACCGCCACGCTGTTAGGATCTCTCAGCTCCGGTCGGTATTTTTTCTTCCTGGCCTACTTGGCTTTTCTCTTTGTCTCGTTTTTCACTTTTTCTTTTGTGGATTACCTATATGGAAAAGAAAAACGTATAGTCCGGGACTGTACTTGAGTGAGTACTCGGCTTCGGCAGGTTTCTGCTACCCCCGGCCTATGTCCAAACAGTGGGGTTTCTTTAAGCGGTGTTGGAAGTGCGGCAGTAAGATCCCCCCCCCCCGATGGACACTCTTTGCCTTTTGTGCCTCGGGGAAGCCCACCGCGTGGACTCCTGCTCTCATTGCTCTAAATTCTCGAGGCAAACGAGAAAGAACAGAGCTACAAGGCCCCGTACCACTTTACTGGAGTCAGCACTCTCTTCAATGGCGTTGCCTCAAAACACCTCAGGCCACACTTTGATGTCGACCCCTACCTCGGCGTCGACAGCCGCAATGTCCCCGACACTGGCTCCCAACCGATGTCGACCAACTGGTGCTGAAACGCTTGGTCCCGACATCGAAGCCCACACTCCTGCTAAGAAATGCCTGGAGGGCAAGGACACTAAATCAGTCAAGCTGAAGAACCACAAGATGGGCTCCCCACGTAGAGTTCCTTCGACTCCTCGGCAAATGCCAGAACTGACTTCTGTGCCTGGAGCAGCTTCGCTTGACTCACCAGACCGCGGTCAACCACATCCTCACTCTTACCACGTCCAATACAGCTCACTGACTCGGAGCAGGACATGGACTTGACCCAAGTCTCCTGATCATCCAGTGTCAAGAGTCTTCGCTTGGGCTGGGGAGGCCGTAATTTCCCACAACCTTCCCCCCGCTTGTTCATCCATTGACGACCGAGACCAACCCTCAGGACCACCTCTTCTTCCGCCGGTTCCCTGGGACCAACACCAGTGGCATTACCTTTATGGGGCATACCCCTTGTCGGCCAACATGCCCTGGCTTCCACGCCATATACCGATGGATTGGGACCGACAATCCACGTCTTCCCGACTGTCTCGGTATCGAGAGCCTGCTCCGACACCGGAATACCTACTGCCCCAAGCCATCAATACCAATGGACAAGCGCCCTAAACAGCCACCTGTAACGACAAGGAAGGTGACTCCGTCAGTACTGACCCCATCGGTACTGATGCTACCATTAGAATTCTTGGACTCTTCAGATCAGTCCGACTTGTCCAATGCCTCACAGCATTTGGGTAATGAGAGCCCCGAGCATCCGGCTGACCCCCTCCCCACCGCAGAAGATGTTGGAGGATCTCCCAATATCTCCTTCAGTGGATTTAAAGTCCTATGGGGAGTTTATTAACAGGATGGCAAATACCCTGACTCTGTCGACGGTCCAACCTCCTCCAGCCATTACCGATTCAGTTTTTGATATTGTTCCGCTGGATACTTCGACAGCCATTGTCCTCCCCATGACTTTGGTCTGCTGCAAGCAGCGAAATCCCTCTGGCCCTATCCGGCCTCCACTCCCATCTCCAGCCGTAGAATCGACCATATGCAGGGGTCATTTCCTGCGGGAGTGCACTGGAGCGGAGCTCCGGCAGTAAGGAGCCCAGGGGGCCGGCTCATGCAACAAGCCCCGCCCCCTGCTCCCAGCAGCCCTCAGTCGGGCCACGAGGAGCAAGAAGCAGCCAGGTAAGTTGCAGAGGCCCCCCCCATCCCACCTTCAGGTACAAGCTCTCCCTCCTCTGTGATTTGGATTGCTAGCCCCCCATAGCTAGCAATCCAAAACAGTCCAGTGAAGCCTGAGTGGTGGGTGTTGCCTTCTAACACACTTCCGGTGATGTCGGGGGGGGGGCATATGCAAATAAGTTATGCTAATGAGCTGCACCTCTTTTTGTACAAAATGACCCCTGACCATATGTATAAGGTATAGGAGACAGTTGCTAGGTTTTTGTTCACCCACCCCATACTGAATTCGGTGGTAGTGAACTCATCCTCCAAAGGCAGGCGTGCTCATTCTTCACCCCCTGATAAAGAGGGAAAGAAGCTAGATTCCTTCAGGAGAAAGTTTTACTCAGCCGGTACATTGGGCATTAAAACCTCGAATTATCCTGCTTGCATGGGCAGATATCAATATGCCCTCTGGGAGCAATTGTCTGAATATATCGCATCCTTCCCAGAGGATCTTAACCGCCGAGCCAGGCGAATCCAGAAAGAGGGCATGCTTCTGGCTAAGCACTAGATGTGGTAGCTAAGACCTCTGCTGTTGCTCTTTGGTGCCATGCCTGGTTGCGGTCCACATCACTCCAGCAAGATACTAAGGCTTTTGTGGAGGACCTCCCCTTTGAGGGAGAAGACCTATTCAGCTCCACTACGGACAGTGTCCTTCAGGACCTGGATAAGAGTATTAAGACATCATGCAATTTGGGAGTTTCTCCAACCTCTAGGCAGAACAAGTCCAGATCCTGGAACAAGTCGTGGTTGCCTAGGTCCTCCCTCAAGTCATCCCCTGAAATGCAGTGGCAGCAAAGGTCTCCACATACACCTTTGTGATCCTATGGGAACAAATCTCGATTTGCTTCAGCCACCCAATCCAGGCCTAAAGTCCCCAAGGGCCCCAAGCAGTGTCTTTGACTCCGACCTTCTACCTGTCCCACCAAGACCTAACCGCCTCCATCCTTACCTGCCCACCTGGAGACAGATAACATCAGACAGGTGGGTCCTCTCTGTCATTGCGGATGGATATCTAATAGACTTGTCCAGGTTCCAATGTCTTCCAGCTTCATCGCCACTCCCCAGTTGGGCGCGCGTCTGGAAGAAGTATAGAACCTCCTGCACAAAGAAGCCATAGAACCGGTTCATCCCTCCCACCGCTACCATGGATTCTATTCCCACCGCTACCACTGGCTCCTGATATGTCATTCCTGCCCAAGGTAGTCTCAGAGTTTCACTTGCTTGCAGACATCGTTCTTCCGGTGTTTTTCCCAACTCCAAAGGATGATACTGAATGTCGCCTCCACACCCGAGACGTAAAGAGGGCCCTGCTCTTTTACCTGGACAGGACTAAGGCTTTTCGGAAGTCTCCAGTCCTTTTTGTCTCCTATGCTGTACCTGCGCTTGGGCACAAACTTCCATCGCCATGTCTGTCCAAGTGGATTGTGGAGGCTTTGCTACCTGCTGGCCAAGAAGCCGCTCCCGGGACCGCTTCGTGCACACTCCAGCTGAGCCGTGGCACATCCACAGCCTTCCTGATGGGCACGCCACTCCGTGACATATGCAGTGCTGGGACCTGGGCAACCCCTCACATGTTTGTGAGGCATCATGCCCTGGATGTGCTTCTTCATCAGCGAGCTGCGGTGGGACAATCTGTGTTGCAGTAGGTCTGTGTCTAAGGACCTTCCAGCTCCCTCCTCCAGGTAGGCGTCTTTTGCTTGCTACTCTCTCAGAGGTGTGAAGCACAGAGACCACAAAGAAGATAAACAGGTTGCTTACCTGTAACTGATGATCTTCGAGTGGTCGTCTGTGCATTCACACCACCCGCCCTCCTTCCCCACTGCTGTCGGTCCTTTTTTTCTTCTTTGCTCTGAGACTGATGGCAGCTGTCAGAAGGAACTGGCGGGATTGTTGTGCCCCTCCTGTAGTCATGCGCACTGGAGCCCTGCCACGTGACTCGAGAGTGGACGCAAAAATCCCTTTTGCTTTAGATTATACCAATCGGGGTTGGCGCAGGCATGCTATATCCCAGAGGTGTGAATGCACAGATGACCACTCAAAGATCATCAGTTATAGGTAAGGAACCTGTTTTTATTCAAAGTAAAAATCTGGTTATTTGCAAAATTTCTTGATCATTTCTGAATATATTTGCCGGACTCTTGTGTATTTAGCTTTTCCTGCATCTGTGGTTGGGCTACCAAATGATCTATTCACAGTAGGCACTCTGATTTGCCCACGATTCCACTTTTCATCTCTCTTCCTCCCTCCAAATAGCACTATCTTTTCTCAGGGTCTTGCTGAGGTGGAGGTAATAGAGTTGCATTAGTTCACAGGTTGTTCAAAAGTCTGCAAAGAATGTACTTCAAAGAAGGACAAATTTTCTTGGAAGAAAATTTGGAATTGGCTCTAGTATTGACAATCAAGATAAGGGAACCCTCAACGTTTATCTCATGCTTCAGTGATGAAATGGGATGGCAGCTAATTTGTTACATGAAACCATGAAATAACATTTGTATCTTTACAAGCAGTTGCTGGCATCTCTACACAGAGATTTACCTCTCATTTAGATCGAAGTGATATGTTGTTCTCTAGTATCTGTTCACTTGAGTGATCTATTGCTAGGGATATAAAACATCCCTTCTTATGGAAGCAGCTGTTTTTTTACTCTCAGGTTAAGAGGCTGAAGCTGCAGACTGGAAGGTCTGTAGCTCGGCAGTTTGAGACCCCAGTGCCACGTGATGGGGTGAGCTTCCATCTCTGGCCCCAGCTCCTGCCAACCTAGCAGTTCAAAAGCAAGAAATTGCAAGTAGATAAATAGGTCCCACTTTGGTGGGAAGGTAACAGCGTTCCGTGCACCTTGGCGTTTAGTCATGCCGGGCACATGACCACGGAAATGTCTTCAGACAGCGCTGGCTCTTCAGCTTGGAAATGGAGATGAACACCACCCCCTAGAGTCGGATTCGACTGGCATTCGAGCAAAGGAAACCTTTACCTTTAGGCTTCTCTGAGTCACTGAATACCTGAATACAGTATTTGCATCAACTGATATGTTCATACATATTAAATACAAAATGTGAATGGTTCTTACAGGAGATAGACTTTGTTGTTTTTGGCTATTGTAAGTTTTCCTTGGTTCAATGTAGAATTACGTGATAGCAATGTGAGTGCTAAAAATTAAAATACATCTTATTGTCCTGTTATAGTTCTTCATTTGAAACTATTCAAGTAAAGCTAGTTGCCAACTTTTATGTAGACATTGCATGTTTATCTTCTAATAACTTTTGACATCCGTTTCTTTTTATTCTACAGGATATGTTTTTTAAGTATACATGGAATAACTTTTTACATACTCAAGTAGAAATTTGTGTTGCATTGATTCTCGCAAGTCCTTTTGAAAGCACGGAAAATGGTACTATTTCAGATCAGGATTCCACTGGAGACAACATTTTGCTGAAACATGTAAGCCAACGCATGGTTCATCTCACTTGAATTTGTATTGGTTGTGGTATACTTATAGTTATTTACAGTTATTTACAGTTGAAAAACATGCTTGGTGTGGTAAGAGCGTAGAAGGCGATGAAACTCAAGAAATATTAATTTCTGAAGGATTTTGTGAGTAATAGCCTCCTTTCTCCCTCTGTTGCACTCCAGTAAAAACGTTTTATGTGCACAGAATAGCAGGCTTATGTCACCTCTGAAGACAGACAGTGTTACTGTGGAACAAGCTTTTGTCAAGTCTTATGCTACAGTATATGTTTAAACTGTTGAATCACTAACTGCAGCGGACAGCTGCCCCTCTGAACTTTCTCTGAGCAGTGGCAGTTTCAGTGTCGTGAATATTTCAGTCCTTTTTATTTCATTAAAAACATTTGAATATGTTTTCTGTCCCTGTATTGGTGCCCCTAACATTTATAAAATCAAATAGCCCCCAGATTATGATTACTTTAACTAATGAAATAATTGGAATAATAGCAATTAAACCAAAATGGCATATTGATATACCAAAAAGAATCACGTTACTAAACTAGGTAAAAGGTGTTGCTGAAATAGCCATGTGGCAAATAGAAGGGGAAGTCGTGGAAGTAGTGACAGACTTCACGTTCCTGGGATCCCAGATCACCGCAGACTGTGACAGCAGCCATGAAATTAAAAGACGCCTGCTCCTTGGGAGGAAAGCGATGGCGGACCTAAACAGCATGATAAAAAGTAGAGACATCACCCTGCCAACAAAAGTCCGCATAGTCAAAGCAATGGTATTCCCAGTAGTCATGTATGGCTGCGAGAGTTGGACTATAAGGAAGGCCGAGCGCCGAAGAATAGATTCTTTTGCACTATGGTGCTGGAGAAGACTCTTGAGAGTCCCTTGGACTGCAAGAAGATCAAATCAGTCAATCCTAAAAGAAATCAACCCTGACTGTTCCCTGGAAGGCCAGATAATGAAACTGAAGCTCAAATACTTTGGCCACCCAATGAGAAGGGAGCACTCCCTGGAGAAGACCCTGATGCTGTGAAAGATTGAAGGTCAAAGAAGACGGGGACGGCAAAGGATGAGATGGTTAGACAGTGTCATAGATGCAACGAACATGAAGTTGAGCCAACTTCAGAGGACGGCAGAAGACAGGAGGGCCTGGCGAGATCTTGTCCATGGGGTCGCGAAGAGGCGGACTCGACTGTGCGACTGAACAACAATCTGACAACTAAAGGTCATTAGGGAGAGGGAGCTAGATGTGTCTTCCGTGGCATGGGATGCCAAAGCATGCTGAACCTCTTCAAAGAGTGGCAACCTCTTGGGCCCCTTTTGCTCTCTTTTTTTGTTGCTTTTAAAAAAAGCTGTTAGTGGAGTAATTAGGTAATTTACTACAGAATACTTTTAGGTAGAACTGTACAATGCAAATTATTTCTTTGAAGTACTATCTTATATTTTTTATGCCAGAGCTGAAGGGTACGTTGAATTGGATTCAGTATTAGGCTGTTCTCTAGGCTGAGATTCTGCACAGATAATGGATTGTGGCACATGCCTACATGGGCTTTAGTAACAACAATGGGAAAATGCTGTGAAGCAGGACACAATAGGACTAGTAACAATGTTAATTGGACAGATGCGATGTGTGCAGTACATGAATATAATCCTTGCACAATAAAGCACAATGGTACTAAATATGAATCTTCTGATACACAATGAAATATTCCATAACGTAGAAGAAACTGCCTGTTGTAAATATTTCAAAGGCGTAAGTTTCCAGAAAACTGTATAGCTTCAACTGATATAGAAGGAACTGCCCTCCCAGGGTATTAAAAGAGGTTTGCAGTGACAATTTTATTTCTATTGATGGGCCCGCCAGTAATACTTTTTAGAAGCCTCTGAGGCTAGACTAGCTCAGGATTGATACAGAGTGGCTATACAGAAGCTATGCAGTTTTCTGGAAACTTATGCCTTTGAAATACTTACAATAGGCAGTTCCTTCTGCATTAGTAGTCTGAAGCTATACAGTTTTCTGGAACTTGATGCCTTTGAAATACTTAGAATAGTAATTTTCTTCAGGAAGATTATCGGAACGAAGTCTTCGAATATCCAGATTCTTCATTGGAAAGAACTACTTTGGAAAGAGAACTTTTTGGAATATTTCATTGTGTATCAGAAGATTCATATTTAGTATCATTGTGCTTTATTGTGCAATGATTATATTATATTTGTGTACCTGGACACATTGTTTCTGTCCAATATATTAACATTGTTACTAGTTTTATTGTGTCCTGCTTCACAGCTTTTTCCCATTGTTGTTACTACTATAGTGCTGTGTGATCTCCTTTTTTGTTTACACATGGGTTTTAGGGCAACAGCTGGCCATGTAGTCCATATTGAACTAGTTTTCAGTCTGCCAATGTTGCTCTTCACCTATTGCAGATGTCTAGTGTAGATCCTGTTGTCTGCCAAAATACGGAAGTGTTGATAGTACTTTGTTCAACTCTTAATGTTGTGCCAAATTATACTTCTAGCACTAAAGTGTATGGGAAGCTCCCATATAAATATGCTTTGTACATAGGGTTATTAGGAGATGGAGCAAATTACTTTAATAGACTTGAATAATATGGATTAATGAAACTAGGTTTTGAACAGTCATCAAGAAGATGGCACTCGCCATAATGATCTTAGCTGTGTTGTACTTAGGAAGGCAGTATATTTTGTTTGTGGTGGTAGGAAAATTGGTTTTTCTTCTCATGGTCTGTCTGTATTCTACATGAGGGTTCTGTGGAATTCACTGTCAGTGGATGTATTAATGATCACTAGCATGGGTGGCTTTAAAAGGGGACTAGACCTACTCATGGAGGATAGGTACAGCAGTGTTTAGTAGCTATGATGATTAAAGGGAACCTACATGTCCAGGGGCAGTAGATCTCTGAATATTAGTACTAGGAGGCAACATGTGGGTCGACTTTGATCTTTTTTCAGTCTTCTGGGGCAGCTGATCAGCCACTGAGTGAGACAGGGGGCTGATCCAGATGAACCACTAGTCTGATCCAGCAGTTCCCCTGTTATGTTCAGTCTTGGGGGAACTGCATCTCCAGACTTAGGGCCCTGTTTTGGAAGCAATTCTTTTTGCCTGTTAAAACACCTTAGGCAATCTGTTGAAACAGCTGCCCTCTGCTGAGCTGACTCTGTCTTCCTTGTCCTCTAGTGCCAGAGCTGGGGCTCATCAAAGAGCTTTTATGTCTCCAATTCAAAGGCAATCTGTTGAAACAGCTGCCCTCTGCCGAGCTGACTCTGGGCTCATCAAAGAGCTTTCATGCCTCCAATTCAGATTCTTAGGCCTGAATGATAACTTTACTGATAACCTGAGTCCTAAGTGTCCTCGGAACTGACCAAGCACCAGAGGGTTCCGAGTGAATCAAGAGCAGAGTGTTACAGGAGAAAGGACAAAGAAGCATACTAAATGTGGAATGCCATCTGATGTTCTGGAGGCTCCTGTTCCATCCATTCAACATGGTACTATTGCCATTGCCCACCTCAGTGCTGCCATTGTACATATTACTGATTCTAGTCAAGCCAGTCCAGGAGTACTATGAGGCTTTTCCAAGAATCTCTGCAGTGACACAGCATTCTGTGTCACAGTTTTCTCAAATACAGAAATAGAAGGCACTGCTCCATTCTTATGCCCATCATTTTGATCCCCAAGAGTATCTACTAATTCACTAGTAAGGTTCATCTTATTGCATTGACTTTCTCCTTAGTGGCAACAGGATCAATTCCTGTATTATAGACCAGAAGACTACAGAGGATATACCAAGAGATACCAGAAGTGGGGTAGAGAACAATCCTGTGTATCATCCCTCCATTTGCAATCTACCCTCTTTAATTCTTTCATGAGTAATGAGATTCAGATCTTCCTTTTATGCAGGGAAATTAGTCCCCTGTCAGGATCCTGGTTAAATCAGTTCTCAACATCAGTCACTTCGAAGAAAGTTAACTTTATTGAGACTTTGATCGATACCATACTGGACACAAACTATTGTTAGGACTGAAGTTGAATGTGCGAAGGTTACAGATATGGTGTGTTCAAGGATCAAGAAGAACAGGGACTGGCAAGAAAAATCCTAAGGCAATACCACTTCAAGTTGTGACGAGACTGCAAGATTAAAAAAAAAAATGGAACCAAAAGAGATGTGAAAGATGGATAGAAAGAAATTAAAAATAATTTCCATCAACGTTAATGGTTTGAATGCCCCACAAAAACAAAGACAGATTTTTCAACAAATTAAGAAGATGCAGGTAGATGCAATTTGTTTTCAGGGAACACACATTAAACACCCAGACCAGAAACTTTTAGAAGTTAAAAAATTGGGGAAAACTTTTGTGTCAGCGGACAAACAAAAGAAAGAGAGAGAGGTAGTTACATATGTTAAAGACCATTTACTCCCAAAACTGATATATGATTCAGAGAATGGAAGAGTCCTGATAGTGAAAATACAGAGACAAGCCAAAACAACCTTGATAGTTAACATAAGATGCCACAAAGTTAACGTTCTGCTCACAGCTGCCAAATCATCTATAGCCCGATTTTGGAAGAGCACTAACCCGCCCACGGCTGCCTCCTGGCTCTCCGTTGTCTGGGACTATTTCATGTTGGAAAAATGTACTGTTTATTTCGACACTTCTCGGAGTGAGAGGGAATTGTATAGTTCCTTAGATAAATGGTCCTTATTTTTGGAAAAGGTGGAACAAGGGGAGTTGATTGTTTAAGTGGGTCATGGGAGGGTGTCATTCTATGTCCCCATGTTATACTGCTTTCATTCTTTGCTTGACCGTAGTGATTTGTACGACTGTATCAAGCTTTATTGTTCATGTCTTTTGAAATATTAAAAATGTATTTTAAAAAATTAAAAAATAAGATGCCACAAAGAAAAAAAACAGCAGGTAACAGATGTTCATCAAGTGGTCATTTGTGTAGTCATACAACCCACTCTTCTTCTCCGCTTCTGGGGTCTCTTATATAGGGGTGGATTCAGCACTGCACTGCATTTCTGCTGGTACAAGGACTGCCATCTGCAGAGTGTGACATTACTGGTTCCTCCTCCCATGGCAGCCCCAAATGGGCCCCAAAATCACCTTTCCCCCGGTGTTGCTTTTGGGGCTAACCCTGGCACTGTTGCTGTACCCAGGGTTCCCAGGATGCACAAATACAAGGACAGCAAATACAGAAAGACATAGGAACAAGGTCTGCAAACCAATCTGGAGTCAGGTATCTGAAGGTTCAGTCCAAGGGTCAGGCTAGTAGGGTCCAGGCTTGGAAGCAGGGACAGGATACAGGGGTCTGGGTCTCAGGCTTGAAGCAGAGATTAGAGGGGTCTGGGTCTCAGGCTTCAGGAGCAAGCAAAGATTAGACAGGGTACAAGGCAGCAGGGTCAGGGTGTAGCTCTGTTTGCTAAACAGGTCAGCAGACAAAGGGGTGGGAAGCAAGGTTGTTCCACAGCCTTGCTCATCGTTTTCATCTTCAAGGCTTCTGTGCAGTCCCACATGGGGACTGCAGTACTGCAGGCCAGCCACCAGGAGGAACTAGCAAACTTTTACTAGAAACTTCTTCCCAAGAGAGCTGGGCTCCTCTCCAATGTCACCCGACCTGGGTATTCCTTTTATCTGCCTCTTTTTCTGACTCATCCCCCTAGGCCCAGGTGTCACTGCTTACAGTTGTGTTCACCTTCTTACAGGTGCAGGTCTTTTACTAATTTCCTATCAGCCTGTCAGTCTTGGTCCTGCAAGGACTCCACTCCAGGAATTAAAGCTGATCTTTGCTGAGCAGCCAGGCAGGCGCTTTGTCATCTCTCCTGAGTTGTCAAGCACTCTCTCCTCTTTTACTCTCTACTAGTGGAGGAGGAGGAGGGAGCTCCAACCTCTGTGGCCTCTCTGTCTTCTGGAAGAACAAGCAGCCTGACTGTGACTGGAAAGCATTCTTGCTTCCCCTGTTGGGTCTGCTGCCAGATCTGGCTGCTCAGATGGGGAGTTTGTCAGTGTGGGGCTCAAGTCTGATTCCTCCAAGGAGGAGGCGGTGGCAGCTGGCTGACCCACGACACCCAGGACCATTTCAGATTGCTGTAGGAGGGGGAAGCCACAAAAGTCAAGCTCTGCAGGTGAAAGTCCTTGTGCCCATAGAAATGTGGCAGATCCACCTTACTGTCTCTTTCTTAGAAGCTGCTAGCGGCAGTACTAAGGGAAGTACTCACTACTTGTCTCAGTGCATGTCCAAAGAGGAGTACCACTCTTCAAGGAGATTTGAACACCGGTTCTTTGGCTAGAGCTGATACAGAACCCATATGTGTGACTAAACAGATCCCCCTAAGGGAGTCTTTTACTTTGTTTCACACAGGTCCCTGCCACACAGCAGGAAAAAAACCGGGCAAAGTGCGGCTTTTAAAAGCCACACCAAAATAGAGACGCCGCGGCAGGATCCCACGGATCCCCTGAGCCGCGGCGCTGTTGCTCCCCGGCACGATCAGATGCCGGGGAGGAAGCAACAGTCGGGAGGGGGAGGCTGCCAAACTGCGCATGTCTGAGCATGCGCAGTTCGGTCAGGAGCCGGGGATGAGCCAGCGGAAGGACGCGCCAGCGATCCCACGGCCGGCCTTGATGCGCCCTTTCCCGAAGAACCACCTAGGTAGGTGGTTTATTTTTGATGCTGGGTTTTGGGTGGAAGGGCTGGATCGGGAACGGGCGCGCCACGCTTCCCAGATGTTGCTGTGAGATTGCGTCCATTTGCTGCGCCCCCGATCCATCCCTCTCCCAGCCCAAAACCTCTCGTGTGACCGGGGCCACAGATAGTTTCCTGTTCTATAAAGGATTTGCATTTATTGTATTGAGAACCTCATGGGTTCAACAGTAGCTGTGGTAGGTAAACATTCTTCTGAAAGTGTGACTGCACATTAAATCTTGTTCTTTATTCTTTCTAAAATATTAAAATATTGGGTGGAAGGAAGGGCTGGATCGGGAACGGGCGCGCCACGCTTCCCAGATGTTGCTGTGGGATCGCGTCCGTTTGCTGCGCCCCTGATCCGTCCCTCTCCCAGCCTCTATTCTCTATTCTTTCTAAAATATTGATTGTCAGTATTCTTTGGTACCATTATTTGAATCTGTGACTTTGGAGAGATGTGCAACTTTATTGCCGGATTCTCATGAATATTGGGAGAAATCACAACAGTCCTCTACATTTGGCAAGTTAGTGTTAAAGACTTCCTATAAAGATTTATTTTTTTTAAAGATCACAGAATGCAAGGAAGCCAAGTGGTTCTCTACACATTTGTTTGTAGAATTATTTTCTGTGGTCAGCACAGACACACATGACTTAATACTTGGGAATGGATGGGATCATTGTATGTTTCAGTATAGGTTTGAGGAACAGTAGCTTAACTTCCTCTTCAGGTAGGTGGCAATGTTCGTGGTCATTTGTATTGCGCTTCAATGAATTGTTACTTGTTATTCATTTAATCTCTGTATGCTTCGTCCTGCAAAAGAACCCCCTGAAAGCTAATGCTGTTTTTCTTTTATAGCTTTTCCTTAAGTGCCATTTAATAGAACGAGTACTTGAAGCATGGGAGATGAATGAGAAGAAACAGTGAGTAGCCCAAACTTCTTTTTCAGCATAGTTTAAGATCCCATATGAGAAGTAAGATAGCACTTAACTCTGTATAGATACACACCCAACTGGCAATTGTTCATAAAGACCAGGTTAAACACACTTATCTTACTTTGAGGCACATTTACATGCTGGGCAACTGTTGGGTGGAAAAAGAGACAAGATAATTCCTCTTGTTTATTCTCTTGCAATGTTCTGTTGTTGCACTTTATAGGTGAGTAGTTTGCATGAACAACATATGTTGGTAGAAAAGAGCAAGAGTCCAGTAGCACCTTAAAAATGTGGCAGGGTATGAGCTTTTGTGAGTCACTGCTTACTTCTTCGGATACCTAACAGAGCCAGTTTGGTGTAGTGATTAAGAGTGGCGGTTTCTGATGTGGAGTACCAGGTTTGATTCTCTACTCGTCCGCATGAAGTGAGCTGGGTGACCTTGGGTCAGTCACAGTTCTCTCAGAGCTGTTCTCTGAAGAGCAGCTTCTCTCAGAGCTCTCTCAGCCCCACCTACCTCACAGGCAATGCTCCCTCTAAGCTGTGGAGTCTTGTGAGCAAAAATTCTACTTTGTGAGCTACCGGCATTAAAGTTGTGAGCGAGCGATTTGGCCGCTGCATAAATTAGTTTGCTCTGGAGCCATGCATCCTGAGCTAAGACAAAAATGTGTGAGCCGGAGGCTAAAAGAACTGTGAGCTAGCTCACACTAACTCGGCTTAGAGGGAACACTGCTCACAGGGTGTCTGTTGTGGGGAGAGAAAGGGAAGGAGATTGTAAACCACTCTGAGTGAAGGACCGGGGTATAAATCCAACCCTTCTCCTTTTTCCTCCTCCTCCCTATGTCATTTTGCTCTCCTTAATTTATCAGAAAAGCAACTCCGTATTGGAAGTAAGTTACAATACAGAGAGAGAGAGAAAGTTAATGAGGAATATTGGTGAAATGTAAGTTCTCCATCAGTGGAGGAAGGTATCCTTGTACGGGTTGTGCCTCCTCCTTGCTCCATGGGCAGGGCATATGCAGGGTTGTTGTTTTTTTTGCAAAAGCGTCCACTGTCCTGAGGTGCACCACTTCCCACTCCACGCCCTGCCCGCACCATGTATGGACATGCTTCCACAGCTCTCCCACCTCGCTTATTGAAAATGCAGGCAAAATGCCTTAAAAACCAGCTTCTCCCTCTCTCTCACAAGTTAGTAAAACAGCAAATCACCGTGTACAATTAAACAATATTTGTTGGTTTTTATATGCAATGTTTAGAATTCAGTTATTAACAAAATTACAACAATAACACTACAATATGCAATATAAAGCTTAGCAGTACATACAGAGTAATACAGTACTTGAACAAACGACAGAGTTCTAGTACACTATCTGTTTGCGTGTCCTTCTTCAGGTTTGTCATTCTGTAATTATTTCTTCATTAGGATGAAGTGCTGCTGCAAGCCATATTTCAAAATGCTAATTCTTATACAATTTTTTGACGTACGCTACCGCGCTTAGATGCTGGTGACTGGGGAGCTCCTATAGCAAGCTCTAATGTGACTGGGTCTACAGCATATAATAATTGGCTAAGCTTCCCTCAGACATTTACTGTTTTGCTAGCTATTATACACCGTGGTCCTGTTTGTTGTAATCTCTCTCACAAGTGGCAACAGTGGGAAACGTACAAAGTCGTCCCGGATGGAACAATATCACACGGCAGCTGCCAGAGTTGAGCCACCATACTGGCCCTTTCCCACGCTGAAGTACTGGTGGTGGAAAGCCTCATCAGTGGAGCCACCTGCAGCTCTTCTGAGCTGGTGCCTTTCACCACGTTGACTATACAAGATCAGGAGGAGCAGCCCCCCCCATCTACCCGGGCTGCAGGAAAGCGGGGGGGGGGGATGACAACAAATAACTTTTACCAGTGGGAGGGGCTCTCCTTTTCCCCACCATCCCCCCAAAAAAAAATTGCTTATGCCCTGCTTGCAGAGCAAGGAAGAGGCACAACCCATACAAGGGATTTCTTCCAGTCCACTGATGAGAAGAAATCTTCCCTGTAAAGGCAGTGTTTTATTTAAATAATAGTAGTTTCGTTCTGTGCTATGGAGTTTTAGACACAGCATACTCCTTAATATCCTGCCAACCTAGCAGTTCGAAAGCAAGACATTGCAAGTAGATAAATAGGTACCACTTCGGTGGGAAGGGAACAGCGTTCCGTGCACCTTGGTGTTTAGTCATGCCGGCCACATGACCACGGAAACGTCTTTGGACAGCGCTTGCTCTTCAGCTTGGAAACGGAGATGAGCACCGCAACCCTATAGTCAGATTCGACTGGCTTTTGAGCAAGGGAACCTTTACCTTTTACTCCTTAATAATTATAAAGTTTTGACAGCAGTTTATTTAAATTACTAACTATTTTCAACTTTGTAGGTCCGAAGGAGGACAGCGATATGGCTACATGGGTCACTTAACAAGGATAGCTAACTGTATTGTGCACAGTACTGATAAAGGGCCAAATAGTACACTAGTACAACAGCTTATTAAAGGTAACTCTTTTTAAAATGTAATTCCTTTAGATCTGTTTGCTATACATCTAGAGAATGCATCATTATGAATATAATGCAGCTTTTATAAGCTGTTGAATAGTCATGTCACTTATGTGCAGATGATTCTCTAACTTAATACGAGTGGCCCTTAAGGCTGGCAGAGTCTCTGATGTATTCTGAATACAAGGAAACGACTTTGTACTGTTTCCAGAAGAATATAGCATCCATGTACCCACGCAGCTCCTGTGCCAAGTCCTTCCCTCCTAGGTTTCCTTTGAGTCTTATCTACTGGCTGTGATTCCAGACCTGATTTGAAATTTGCTTTCATCTTTCCTCATAACTTTGTACAGTTATTAGCTCTAGCATTCATTATCCAAGCTTGACATCTGTGTACTGACCAGGCTTTTCCAGCAAATATATATACTTTGGCACCGTTGGTAGCAGATTAATAAAAGGCCTATACCTTTTCATGGAAAAAATTCTGAATATATCACTGTCTTCCTTTTAACTGTTTACATACTATAATTTTATCCATGATCATACTATACCAACAGTTCCTTAACCATGTTTCTTTTGGTGGTTTCATCAGTTGTGCCTAGTATTTTGCAGGGAGCAATCCTACTGCAACTATCATACACAGGGCTTTTTTTGTGGAAAAAGCCCAGCAGGAACTCATTAGCATAACAGGCCACACCCAACAGCAGAAAATCATTAGCATATTAGGCCACACCTGACAGCACAGCTCATTAGCACATTAGGTCACACCCCATGCCTTCCCTTGGCTTGCATGGGTGCCCCGCGGCTGCGGGGAGCTCGAGCAAGCCAGCCCTTGGAGAGGCCAGGGAAGGTACGGGGAGGCATTTAAATGCCTCCCCAATTCTTCCAGCCCCCCCCCCCCGGCCTTCCCGCCTTGGAGTCGCCAGGGGGTCGCTCTCCAGGTCTTCCCTCTGTAGCCACACACATGCAGAGGTTTTTGGCTGTAGTGGGCGTGGCCAACTCTGAAGCCAGCCAGAACTCCGTTCCTGTGCGTTCCTGCCCCAAAATAGCCCTGATCATACATGTTAGTAGACGGAGGTCCTGTACCTGAGTTTTTGGGGCTTAGGATCAGGAATCAGGCTCCTGGTCCTCAGTGGGGCACCATGGGTGCTAGTGCCGAGGGTAGGGAGTCTCAGGGTGAAGCTGGATACGTCACTTACTATAGAGGCCCAGATCCCTTTGGTTGCCAGATTGGCCTTTTATCATTTTCGGCTAATCAGGCAACTGGTTCCCTATCTCGCTCCTCGGGACTTAGCTACAGTGATCCATGCAATGGTTGCTTCCGGGCTGGACTACTGTAACTTGCTCTACGCGGGTATACCCTTGAGCCTGATCTGGAAATTGCAGCTAGTGCAGAATGCGGCAGCACGCCTGCTGACAGCGATGCCTATGCGGGCACACATTTCCCCGGTGTTGCACCAACTGCACTGGCTGCTGACCGAATACTGGTTCCAGTTCAAGGTCATGGTTTTGACGTTTAAGACCCTTTGCGGTCTGGGACCATCATATCTGTGGGACCACCTCTCCCCATATGAGCCTCAGAGAGCTTCACGCTCTTCTGACCAACACCTCCTGGTGGTCCTCGGCCCGAGGGATGTCCACTTAGCTTCGACCAGCGGGAGGGCTTTTTCAGCCCTTGCCCCAGCCTGGTGGAACATGTTCCCGTTTGGGATCAGGGCCCTGCAGGACTCATTACAGTTCCACAGGGCCTGTAAAATGGAGCTATTCTGCCAGGCCTTTAGTTAAGGTGTAGCGGATGTTCAACCAAAACAACATTTCAGGGTACTTTCAGAAGTGAAAGCCAACCATCAAACATATGCTCAAAGGTGTTTAAATGCTAAAGGGCATAATCTTGCAGACTTTTAGTTTAAATATATATATATATATTCATTTATAAAAACTGAAATCTCATTTGACACAATTTTAGGATACGTTTAGAAGTGAAACCCAACTACCAGTGAAGTCTTAGATATAAAGGAAATAGGCTACAGGGATTTCCAGATTAACTGAAGCTTGTAAGCACCAATATACCCAAGGTGATCCAGAATTTTCTACCTTACCAGTCAGCAGGTTATGTTCAAAAGTCATTTCATGAAAATCAAATCTGGTCCCATTTAAAAGAAATAACTTACTTAAGAAATGATACTATTCCACGTCTTTTGGAATAAATGAATTAGTTGCTTTAGACAGATTCAGAGAATGGGGTATATACATTTTTAAATATGTAAATTAGTGGGAGCTTTTGTATCACCTACATCTCCATCCATGCAGATATTTTAAATAGAGTGAGTGGAAATATAAGCCCAGCTGTAGGAAGAACCTCTGCCAGTTTTCCCTGCTGAAATTGGTTTCTTCTGTTCTGGTTTTGTATGTTGTCTTTCTGCATTGGGGAAGAGCAAAGCAAGCAGCATTTCTGAGATGTCTGGGTTTCTCCTCTCGAGTTATCGGAGCTTTGTTTACTATGTATATATGCTGTAATGGTGTACAAAATAATGTACCTTTATTAAAACATTTATTTGTTTCACTTTCTAGAGCTTCCAGATGAAGTCAGGGAGCGATGGGAGACATTCTGCACGAGTTCTTTAGGCGAAACGAACAAAAGAAACACAGTGGATCTAGTAGGTTTCGTAGGATGAAGTCTGAGAAGTGACGGCTTTGAAATAATTATTTATTTTATTACACATAAGGATACATTAACAAAACACAATGAGAACAGAAAGGCAAATGCAAAACAACAAAGCAATTGAGAAAAAGGAAAGAATGAAATAAACTGTTTACAATTATTGCCATACATTTGGCTTTACAGCTTCAATTTTATTTATTAATTAGATTGGATTTATAGCCCACCCTTCCCTGCACAGTAGGGCTCAGGGTGGGTCACAACATTTAAAATCGACCCAACAGTTAAATATAACTTCGATTAAAATCAGCAGTCACAACAGTCACCGTGTTTATTCCTCACTGGCAGGCACAGTAAAGGGCCGTTCAGGAGATGGTCCAAGGTGGGACAGCGCCACCATTTATACCTAATTTGTAAAAATTACATCTGACCATAGATTTCTAGGGTTGAGTGGAGAATGAAAAGTTGTTGAGCATCGATTAGCAAAAGATATAAATGTATTCCAGATTGCATAAACCTCCTCGCTCACTTGATTTTTTTTTTTTTTGCTAACCCTAATCTGATGAGTCAGTGTTTTCAAGAGAGTGATATTCCACAGGTGGTCATACCACATACTAACAGACAAATTTGTTACGGATTTTCAGAGTTGAGATAGGATGGATCTCGCTGTAAAGGATGGGGCACTGGCCCCACGCGAGGCAAGGTAGAGAGCAGTGCTGAGCATGGCCAAGTGTCAGAATCCACAGCTAACAACGAAGTACATGCATTCAGGAACGGTTATACTTTTATTGCAAAGCTGTAGATGCGGTAACGCAGGCACTGTTAAGAATGGCCACACAGCCTGTAGAGCAGAATAGGATATAGGGTGTTCGTATGCACCCCCCCCCCCATGGCATGGGCCAATTAGGCACCCTCCCGCACGCGGGATAAGTCAGGCAAGCGTTAGGTGGCTAAAGCTGAGAACCCGGAGTCTCTCACGGTACATAGGAGCTCTCCAGACAACACAGCCTCCTCCTGCACATCTGTAGAGATAAGCGTTTCAGCAAAGGCAGAACAGCAGGGATAGGAATGCAATAGCAATTAACGAGAGACAGAATGAACTCCCCAACCCCCATGGCAGCATAGCTGATACCAAGCCCCTCACAAGGACTGTGGTTTTCTTGGGTAGAGTGTGCCAGGGGTAGGGAAGAGTGGAAAGCTGAAGATGGGAAGTAGATAAAGGTAGGTCAGTTGGATGGGAAGGAGAGAAGGAGGCAGGAAAGGGGGAGGGAGAGGCTTTGGTGCTTTCAAAGAAGGGAAAGAGGAACTAGTGGGAGAGAGGGGAATGAGATTTACCCTGCAAGTCCTTGCGGGTTCCTGCTCGTACGGCTGTAATTTGCTAAGGAGATTTGAGGGTGATTTGCTTTTGTTTTTTTACTGTGGAACATTCATCTTGTGTACCGGTTATACAGCACTGCGTATCTAAAATAGATGCATTGTGTCGAGTGCTTGGCAAATTATTTCCTTCTCTTTTTTTCGTTAGAGGTAATAACCCTTTATGAACTCTTCCAGGTGGCAGACACAGACGTGGGGGTGATTTGGAAGAACATTCCCCTAGAAAAAATGTAATAATTCATTTAATGTCTGCAGTATTTAAATAGTTTCAGATAACAGAGTATATCAAGGCAATTTAGGAAAAATTACTCTTCCACTGCAAGAAATAAAGTTGTCACTTTTGTGTAGTTTTTTTGTTATAACTGACTTGGATATATTAAATATTTTATGTTTGCATTAGGCTTATTTTCCTGCAAAGAGTAAAAAAACGTATGGGCATTCTTTTAATTTTTATGGCTATATCTTATGAAAGCCCTTTTCCCTAATTACCTATTGTTTTTTTCTGTCTCTAGGTTACTACCTGCCATATTCATTTATCCAGTGATGATGAAATTGATTTTAAGGAAACTGGTTTCTCACAGGATTCCTCTTTGCAACAAGTAAGTCAAAGTTTGAGGTCTTTGCTGTTTTATGCATTAATCTTTCTTTTGATTGAAAAGGGCACCCCTAAGAAGCCTGCTTTTGGGACTGTGAGGCTTTCATGAGTGTAAATCATTCTGCAATATAGTGTTCATTTAATTACAGTTTCAGTTTTTTGTTGAAACTTGTGATGTCAATTGTCACACCTTCAGGAAAACAGGAAAAGGAGAACAAAATGCAGGTTTTTAATTCTGCATATTATTTGGTGTAGCCATGAAACTTGAGCAAGGAAATTTAATTCAGATGGAGAGTGGCTTGCCCTTGCATACTCCTCTATATTAAAATTAATTGATGACAGTTCCACAAACTTTAGTGATCAGCTGTGATAACTAAAAGCTGTTGAATTTTAAACTTTTTTCTAATCTCTGTGATACCTAAAGTGCACCATGAACTTTTATCACTTTATTTCAACTAGTAGTCACCCTTACTTAAGTTGGGTCAACCATTAGAACATAAGAACATAAGAGAACATAAGAGATGCCAATGTTGGATCAGGCCAAAGGCCCATCCAGTCCAACACTCTGTACCCCACAGTGGCCAGAAATACCAGTGCCATCAGGAGGTCCACCAGTGGGGCCAGGACATTAGAAGCCATCCCACTGCTGACCCCCCCCCCCCCCAAGCACCAAGATGACAGAGCATCACTTGCCCCAGAGTCCCTATCTATACCTTGTGGCTAATAGCCACTGATGGATCTCTGCTCCATATGCTTATCTAATGCCCTTTTGAAGCCGTCCATGCTTGTAGCTGCCACCACTTCCTGTGGCAGTGAATTCCAAGTGTTAATCCCTCTTTGGGTGAAGAAGTTCTTCCTTTTATCCGTTCTAACCCGACCGCTCCGCAATTTCATGGAGTGCCCACGAGGTCTTGTATTGTGAGAAAGGGAGAAAAGTACCTCTTTCTCTACCTGCTCTTTCCCATGCATAATCTTATAAACCTCAATCATGTCACCTCTCAGTCGTCGTTTCTCCAAGCTAAAGAGCCCCAAGCGCCTTAACCTTCCCTCATAGGGAAAGTGTTCCAACCCTTTTATCATTCTAGTTGCCCCTTTCTGCACTTTTTCCAATGCTATAATATCCTTTTTGAGGTGTGGTGACCAGAATTGCACACAGTATTCCAGATGAGGTCTTTGGAGCCTCTACCATTTTTTCTTGTTTAGGATCTTTGTTGTTGTTCAGTCGCACAGTCAAGTCTGACTCTTTGCGACCCCATGGACCAGATCACGCCAGGCCTTCCAGTCTTTTAGGATCTTTAACAGAAGGCAAAAGGGGGAGAAACGTGGAGACAGAAAGGAAAAAAAGGGGTGGGTGGGAAATGAGAAGATGAGAAAGACAGAAGCAGAACAATGGAGAGACAAGGAAGAGACAGAGTAGTCAGGGATAAAGGTGGGTTTTGAGTACGAAGAGACAAAAGGCAGCAAGTTTATTCCATTTGCTTTCCTTCAGGGACCGTAGGGAGCTATAGTATGCATCTGTAGAAGAAAGTCACACATGAGCCTTCCTGATGGTTGCACTTGCATATAGTTCTTTTATATGCAGCTATGTTCACTAATTTGCATGGTCACTTCACACCATGTGTGCAGACAGAATTATAATTTTTGCTTTAATTTTAAAATGATTTAGATTTTTATAACAATTAAGTACAGTCGTTGAAATACTGTTGGCTGTTCCAACAGTATGAGCAGAAGGCACTCACCCAAGAAAAGCTTCCCCCAGAAGCCCCAGGTGCCCAAAAATGCTCTGCTGGGGTTCCTCTGATCTTCATAAGCCAAATGTACTGTGGCTTGAGGGTTATAGTGACTGCCACACCTTACTCTTTCACTAGCTGGCCAGGTTTGATTTGAGGCTTGCTCAGACAGTAGAAGAGAAGAAGGGGCAGTTTTGTCCATTTTCCTCTGCCTCGGTGCAATCCCTGTTGCATTTGACTGTGAGGATCCTCCAGTCCTTAGCTGAGTGTTTTTGGTTGGGGAAGGGGGGGGGGCTGCTGAGGAACAGGTAAGGTGGGGAAGATTGTCTTGCACAAGCTTCTCCCACTCACACAACCATGCATTCTAACCCATAGTATTTAAATGGTTGATTCTGTACTGGTTTCAGTCTTAACTGGATAGTTACTGGCTTAACAAATGTACAGTACCTTCATAATTGGAGTATTTTGGAAGTACGTTCTAGTGTATTCACTGTATTCTCTACAGTCTGATTCCACTTAACTTGAGGCAGATGTTATTTCACAAGGTAATTTTAAAAGAATTATGATTCAGTCGATCCATAAGAGAAAGACCACGTACTACCTTATGAACCTGCCTGACTGCTTTGGTATCTTCAGGAGCCCTGCTTTGGATGCCCCCACCTTCTGAGATTAGGTGGGTGGCAACCCATGGGAAGGCCTTCTTGGCCATGGTACCAAAGTTCTGGAACTCTCCCCTGGGAGACTTATCTGTCCCCTGCTGTTGCCACCTTCCACCAATGGGTGAAGAGATTTTTGCTTCATTTGGTATTTCCTCAGTCACCCCACCTTCCTAATTAGTATTTTAATCACTGCTTTTATGTCTTGTATGTATTTTAACTTTATTTTTTTATTGAATGGGGTAAGTTATTTGACTTCCAAGTAAGCATAATGGTAGGTGTTCATTTGTGGGGATGGGTGTTGCCATATTTTGATGGGTAATATACATTATATTAAGTGTTGTTTGGAAATACTGTGGAAAAGGAATCCTTTTATCAGCCTAAAGGCATTGTAAGTTAGAAAGAGCTTCAGTCAGAGCACCCGTCCAAGTCTGCACTGTTCTTTTTTCACGTCTTGCTGAAATTTGGTTCAGTGCCTCAAATACAAAAGAAATAATCTTTATTTGAATGGTCACCAAGTACTTCCTCATCCTAAAACTGTTCTGTTTGGCACACCTGATAGCTTGTAGTTCTTATTGAGTAATTCTTTTTCCTGTATTTGGTTATGTAAATTAGCAAAAAGTGTTTCTGGAGCGAAATGGGCAAAGTAGTATTTAGACTATTATTAGAATCATTATATCACTGTCATTGGTCCTGGGGTTGCCAGGCCTTTTCTGATTATCAGATGCAACAAATGACGTCCAATTTTATTGACCAGTTCGGCTTCAACGATGAGAAGTTTGCTGATCAAGATGACATTGGCAAGTGAGTATGGGTGTGTTTGTAACATTTGCCTTTATTTCCCACTTGTTTATTTCACAGTGGTTTGTAGTTGTCTCTCTTTACTGATGATGAGAGCTGTATTGTATATAGTTAGCCTTGTTTTGTTTCCACATTTGCCTTGTATGTGCTCATAAGAAGAAATTTGTCACTTAAACATACACCTTCTGTTCATCATTTCCATTCCTAGCATTTATGTACGCAAATTCTCTTTTTGTGTTCATCATTTTAATAGTTGGACAGAATGCTCAGTGTGTGGATTTCTTTCCCTGAAGGCTCATCGTCCTGATCTAGAGTTCCATGGCTTGGAATGTACTGTGTTTGGACGCAGACTAACTTTTCATGGAAAGATTGATATTTACCAACACAGCTTCTGTATGGCGCTGTAAGGAAAGGATTCATAGACTTAGTCTATGGACAGATATTGAATAAGTTAATATTGTTATGATCCATTTAGTATCCAGAAGTATTAGGGGTCCAGAAGCATAAATACGTTTTAATTGGTGCAGATATTTAAATATCTGACCTCAAAGGATTGGGGTGGGTAGGTATTTAGGTTGTAAGTACAATGCTAAGTGGCTTTAATTCTCTTTTTCCGTCAAAAGACTTTTTATTTTCCATTATTGTCACATTTTACATCTCTTTATCAATTGATTAAATGATCCCTTTTCCCTCCCTCCCCCGAAAGGCTTCCCGCAATGCATTTCCCTCATGTCCCACATAGATAAATTCAGGATAACATCAAATACTTAATATTGTTCTAAACATAGTACTAAGTGGCTTTAATTCTCTACTGCCCGTGAAGCACATAACATTATCATTGATTGGCCCTCAAACTTCAAGTTTAAAAAGGACATGAAACAGCACTCCAGATGATACATCTTTATTTATATAAATTTAGTTTCATTTATAGATTCATAGATAAATAATGCATGCTATACACAGATCTCAGGAATACATTTTATGAGACCCTTGTGCCTGATAGTTTTCAGACTTGGTTTGATTCCTATTTGCTGTGTGGGGAGAAATCTGAGATTTTTATCCTCAGGGCAGGGCAGGGCAATCAATATAAATTAACTTTCCTCCACTGGTCCTCAGAAGCAAGAGAGAACAGGTTGCCTAAAATCCCTAAAGTCTCCATTTGCCCCTCAAAGTTCAGAATGTCTCTCAAATCCTTAGATCTTACCAGGATGGGGGGGGGGGGGGGGGTTTGGCCTCTGCGAAGAATCATAGATCTAAATTAAATAATATTATAACATACATTTATTTGTTATGTATTCTGTTTGGACCTATTCCCTATGAAAGGTCAGTGCTGAGAGTTTATGAAAGCAAAACAACATAACTATTTGTGCAGACAATAAAGTCGTCCAAACGCTGTGTGCTTTGTCTGTTATAAAAAGCATCATTAAGTTCCTAAAATGAATAGATCAAAGATTTTTAATCATGAACACAGGCAAAAAGCCCCTTTTATAGGTTTAATTTGTTCCAGATTATGTTATGTGACGTGTTCTTGATTGGTCTACTATGGGGTAAATAGTTAAGTCTTCATAGGTCTTTTCAGTTGGGAAGAGTGTTTATAGGAACGTGGATCATGTGTCCTCTGATTAAGAATATATTGAGTCTTTAGGAGAGAAATCCACTTTGATCATTGTTGCTGACATCGAAGACCATAAAAAGCATTGTTTCATTACACCATGAATCTATTAAAATTAACGTAAAATTTATTATTTTGAAACTAATGGTCTGAGCTGATAATGACTGGCATGTTCAAAGTTCAGATCTCTGAGGCATTTTACTATTCAGTCGTTGAAATTCTTACTGTAAGCATTCCTGTTAATGTCTCCCTTCTTGAACACTACCAATACAATCCTAAAAAAACTTTCCTGGGAGTAAGCCAGGACTGCATTGTACATAACACCGTTTTTAAACAAAAAAGAGGAACTTGAATTTTGTTTCTAGAAATGCTATTGGTTGTATAGTCCCAGTAGCTGAACAGTATTTATTTGTTTATTGGTTTATTTATTATTTCGATTTCTATCCCGCCTTGCCGGATGAACTGGCTCAAGGCGGCTAACAAACATTAAAATACAGTAAACAATAAATACACTAAAATTTCCATAAGCAGCATAAATTACAATAAAAGCAAAACGAATGATGGCGGCATTTAGTATACAGATGGAAGTCAATGTCCAACGGTATGTGAAAGGGCCATGGTGTATTCCGGTGGCTCATTCGTCAGTGGCGGCTCCTAATCGAAAGCCTGGTGGAAGAGCTCCGTTTTACAGGCCCTGCAAAACTGTAAAAGGTCCCGCAGGGCCCTGATGTCCTCCGAGAGCTCATTCCACCAGTGTGGAGCCGCCACTGAAAAGGCCCTGGCTCTTGTTGTAGCCAACCTGACTTCTTTCAGGCCAGGGAGAGTCAGGCAATTTTGTGTGCCTGACCTCAGTGCTCTCTGGGGCACATATGGGGAAAGGCGGTCCCTCAGGTAGGCAGACCCCCGACCATATAGGGCTTTAAAGTTCAAAACAGTACGTATGTTTTTATGATACTGGTTTGTACTCTCTTCTGATCCTTGCTGCTTGTTTTACATTCTTTTCTCCGGTGGTCCAGGAGTGGGACAGTCCTTCCTCTTGGGATTAGGCTCCTCCTCCTAAGGCAGGGTCGGTCTCATTGATTGAACCAGCTGGGGGAGGGGCCCTATCCCCTGGGGCTGTTTCTAGTCTTACCAGCCCTCCTACCCTCAGGAACAGAACCTTTGGAGGGGGGAGCCTGCAAAGGTGCCTGGGGCCAAGCCGAGATCTGGCAAAGTCCCCGGGTGCGGAGAAACTGGTGTGGCGAGGAAGACATAGCTGGGAAAACCACCCCAAGGACCCGCCATAAGCACCCTACAGTTGGTGTGGAGAGCCAGTTTGTTATAGTACTTAGAACGTCAGACTAGGATGTGGGAGATCCAAGTTCAAATTCCGAGTCTTCATTATGTGAGTTTCTCACTGAGTGACATTGGGCTATAGTCAGTCTCAGAAGGTTGTGAGGATAAAGTGGAGAACCAAAACCACGGCCCTGAGCTCCTTGAAGTAAAAACTTAATAGATGGACAGGTCAGCCTCCTGATATTTACTTAAGTGTAGCTGTCTTTATATACCAGAAACTTACTCAACCTTTCCTCCCCTTGCTGGTTCATGCAGTATTGTTTCTCTCTAGGTAAGCAGTCCCGGTCATCCTTTGGCATGCATTCAGATGGAGAGACAGTGTGTGTGAACTGATGGATAAGAATCCACAGCAGGTCCTGTTATCGACACTCTTTTCAGCAAAGTAAACGTCCTGCTGCACACACGGCTCTCTCGCATGTATGCATGGCTGTTTATATCGTGGCCCTAGAACACAGTTTTTCCGCTTTATCCAAAAGAGGTCTCTAGCTGCATTTCTGTTTCCTCTGTTGAAAGCTGTAACTTAAGATGATGATTTTTTTCATCCGTGAAAGATGCATATATCTTCCCCAGAATTGATATGCCCATCATTAAGACAAGTGGGATTTCCTCCTTGCCTTTCTTGAGTCTTTTGAAAGAGCTTTTAGCTTGCTGCATTCCCGGTAAAACAATTTGTTTATGTTTGAAGTTTTTGATATCCTGCTGCTTCACGTGTCACAGAAATGACCAGGCTCATGCTTGCATGCCATGTGAGTCATGCTTTTATTGACTACGTTGTAAACGTTGCAGGCACCCACGGCTAGAAGTGGTTCCCTGCACTGTGCACTGATGGGAGAGAAACCAAAAGTGTCATGGTCACATTAGGAATAACACTGTGGATGCATGCTCTATGCAGGCATCAGCAACCTTTTATTTCTGTAACATGTGAAACAGTCCTGAGGCATTCTTCCTGATGGAGGTAGAAATTGCAGTCAATAGTAAACTGAGCACCAGTCATTGCAAGAGGACTGAATCACAATCTCATTCCTCGAACGGTTTTATATTTGTTAGCTTCAATTCTGGATGAGTTTGTGACCAAGCTTTCTAGTATCCTCTTAATTTTGTTGTCTGTCAAAATGCTCATTTAAAAAAAAAAAAAGCACAAAACAACTCTGATATAAAACGAAATGCTGTTTCTAGTATGCCATTTGTCTTCTGTTCTAGTACATAAATCTGTACTTTATTTACAGTGTTTCTTTTGATCGTGTGTCGGACATCAATTTTACCCTCAATACAAACGAAAGTGTAAGTATATTCCAGCAGTCATTTGGGGGAGGGTGTCATTTAACAGGAAGGTAGGCTTAGGGAAACAGCACCCGTATTAGTGCTTCAAGAGTGGAATGCGTGGCTGAGGAGATCATGGGCATTTTCCCTTGGATTGGTCTTTGGAGGGTATTCTAAAAATGTAGATAACTTTGGGAGCAAGATGGGTTATACTGGGTGACTCATTATGACCCTCTGAGTTTTTGTCACATACACGTTGTGGTGTTGCCCATTGAAAGGTTACTACCAAAGACAGCAAATCTGCTGAGCCAGTGATGGCCAGCTGGCACCCCATGGGCCACAACCAGCCGCTCTCTGATGTTTCTGGTCCTGTTATTTCCCCCTCTTCTCACTTCAGGCATGCAAGATGCATTTCAATTTTTGCCTGGCAAGCTTCCGTCATTTTCCAGATGGGAACTGTAAATCAGCAAACCCCATTTGTAGCAAGGAAACAAAATCCAATTTGACCTGGGGCTCAATATCACAGCAAATTTGATTCAGTTGATTCCAGGCTTCCAAGGCCAAGATGCTTCCATTTGTGTTCTGCACATGAGAGGGAAAGGGGAGGAGTGAGCAAGAGGACCAGCTAAGTTCATCACCATAATAAACAAATAGAGGTTTGTTCTGATGTAGGAATGCACCTGTGAGTTGGTGAAGGGCCTGGAAAGTGAGCCATAAGGATATTCGGAGAAACTTGAAAATGGCAGATTTATGGAGTGATCATGCTGAACAGCACTATTTGAGTTTGTCTTAAACCCTTAAACATGGGGGCCAGATAAGAAATAAGAATGAAATATATAAAAATAGAAGAAAATATTGAGCAGGAGGTCGGAACACTGTGGGAAGCCATGTATAAGGGGGGGGGGGTAGGATGTAACAGGGATTAAGCTAAAAAATTTATGGTTGATTATGATGAGAATAATATGGAAAATGTAAGGTTGAATATGAATGTTTATGTCCTGAATAAAATCTTTACAAAAACAAACAAACATGGGGGCCAGAGTTCCCCAGTGAAAGCATATTATTTTCTTTCAGTTTGGGATGTATATACTAATTGTGATGAGTAGCTTTTCCAGGGTCATACTTTCTGTTTTCCAGAGATGATGTTCAAAATGACTAGGCATTTATATGGGATGGATACAAGCTCAAGTACATGGGAATGGTAACATACATGTATTGGCTTCTGAATTTGTTTCAGGGCAACATTGCTTTGTTTGAGGCATGCTGCAAGGAGAGAATACAGCAGTTTGATGATGGTGGTTCTGACGAAGAAGATATCTGGGAAGAGAAACACATTGCATTTACACCGGAATCTCAGAGACAATCCAGGTAGACTTAAGATGACAAAGAATATTTCTTTGCTGATTTGGGCTGAAATACTAAAGACACATATTCTCACTCTGAATAAAACGATTCACCATTAGGTTCTCAGGGGGCCACATTCTTAATAAAACTGCATAAAGTGTTCTGAGAGTAATTAATGCAAGCTGTCCTATTCAAAGCAGACTACTTGTTCCTATGTTATTGGTGTATTAGCATGAAAAGAAAATTGTAGAAAGCATTGTATTAAAAGGAATATGTATGTTTCATACAATCTTCCATAGTTTTGCCAAGCTCTTGATACAATTCTTTCCCTTTTCCTGTTTCTGTTATTGTATTTAGGACCAGTCTTTCAGTGCACCAGGACAGACTGTAGATTTTTGTAGGCTCGGGGCAGCTACTGCTGGGCCCACATCATTGAACCCTTTGGCACCCCTTCTTCTCCTTTTTGTCCCATTATGTATCTTTTTCCTTAGTGGATTTGTTGTTACTATCTGGAAGATCATTTTAAACCCAGGAGTTTAATGTGGATTATGTTTTAACTATATCTGCAAGACTTGAGAATCCACTCCTAAATAAGTTTTTATTTTTTGTGTGCCCAGAGAATTTGCCACTCAAGTACAATTATTTGCATTAGAATGTAGGACATTCCTCTTTATTTTGACAAATGTATATCTGTTGTCAAGCTGACACAACACGGGCAGAAATGATCTGACATGAGGGTTAGTTTTAATCTTTTGTCACACAGACTGCACCAGGATTTTATTTTGAGGAGTGGAGTGTTGAAAGAAGAAAGCATCAAAATGTGTAGAAGTTGTTCAGATAGCTGTGATTTCATGGTTAACACTCCCCATCCCAGCTTTGGCATATACGTTTTCAAAGATGGATGTCTCAGTTCAACTTGATTTTTGTTGCGTGGTACTTTTGTTTTTGCCTCAGATTACTCTGGTCACTTTGCATACTAGCCAGTGTGCCAGGTATCTGAATTATACTGAATTGTTTTAAGTCAGACCATGCAGAAGGAGATGGAGTCTTGAGAGGTGCAGAGTGACAGTCACCCCTTGAGAAGCTATTAGATTTTTAAATACTAAAGTCTAGATACGACTTGCAGATTAATTCACCTTGAAATGCCACCCCCATAAAACGCTGGTGTAGATAATGTTCTTGACAAACAAGACTGCTTTCCTTGAGTGGACTTAATTTCGTAGGTATGTGTACTTCTCCGTCAAGACTGTAAAACTAATCCTTGCCTCAGATTACTTCCTTTATGTGCTAACCAATCAGTTATCATAGAGGGTCCAGGATCTATAGCCACGCTTTCCAATCCATTCAAATTTTAAAGCTGACCCTAGATACAATCTACAGATTCTTCCTTTTAAATTGGTTCCAACCCCCCTCCCCTGCCCACACTAAACAATCCTTAGTACAGGGACTACAAGAAGTGAGAGCCAAATGAGATTTCACTTTTTTAAAGAGCTGGAACTGGGTTTCCTGGGCCCAACTTTAGATTTTTAAAGAGTTGGGCCCAACTTGAGTTGCCTGCAGCTCCACAGCAGATGCGGGGAATTGCTATTAAACAGAGCCCGTTTGGTCTTGGAACACTGCTGCGGTGACGAGGACCGGCTTTTGCTAGAATGCTGATGCTTGAGTTTAAAAATGGCACCCTCATATTTCCCCCCTTTGCTTCCTTGATTTACAGCGGAATCCTAACCAGTTATATAGTTCTGAGTCCATTGAAGTCCATTGGCTCAGTACAGTGTAACTCTGCTTAGAAGGTTAGAGATCGTTGCAGTTCCTGTCCTCTGATCTCTGAAGATACTTTCTATTAAAGCACATTGGGGTTGCCAACAGGCCTGGAGAAAAAATGTCCTGGTCCTTTAATAGAGGATTACTGGGATGATATTTACCAGGAGATTTTATTTCTATGCCATTAAAAGCTTCAACTGCTTCCGTCCATTAAGACTTTATTAAAGGGGCAGGGTGTTTTTTCACAGGCCTTTAGGTAATCCTAAAGTTCATGGGCATGGTGAGGAAAAAGCTGGCATGTGGCAGGAATGATGGTGCTTTCACCTTGTTGAGCCTTTTACTTGGGTCGTAGTTATAGTAGTAGCAGGGGTGGAAAATGGTCAGTAAAAGTCAGTTTTTTCATCTTGGTCAGTAATTTGTCAGTTGTTGTTTTTTTAAATGGTCAGTATTTCTTTGATTTTTGTGAATGCAGTTTGTGTTTTCCCGTTTTCATTACTACATTTTTGGGGAAACATGATGACTTCCCAGTGAGAAGACAGATTGTTTTCAGTTTAGTTATGAAGTACTTTAAGGACTTTGTTCCAAAGAGTAAAAGTGATTTGGTGAGATCTTCCACAAAGTATAGAAACATAATTCACCTCTTAAAACATGAGACAATGAAAGTAGAGGTGATGGATATTTTGGGACTCAACATGGCACAGCTCATGCTAGAAGGAGTTGAGAAAGCAATGGAAGAAGAGGACAAGGGGAAAAATGCTTGTGGATGCAGTGCAGAAAAGTGTTGAGAAACAAAAGAGTTCGTGAATAACTTTATTTATACCCTGCCCTCCCCGCTAGAGCAGGCTCAGGGCGGCTTACAAAGAGATTAAACCATATAGGTAACAAATTATATACAATCTTAAAACAAATAATAAAACTACATTATCATAAAGTGCTAGTAAATAATCAGGTACTTATAACAATGCTTACAGAAGGCGGAACCAATACTAGTGTTGTAATCAGATGGTTGGCTCGTCTTGGTCTTTATATTTAGGCAACAGCACAGGCTGTTGGTGGTAAGCCAAGGCCCAGGGCACTGTCACTTCTCAGTTGTTTGATGTTATTTGGTGCAGCTTCTTAGTCAAAGGCCTGGTGGAAGTGCTCCATCTTGCAGGCCCTGCGGAACTGTAAAAGGTCCCGAGGGCCCTGATCTCTTCTGGGAGCTCATTCCACCAGTACGGAGCCACCACTGAGAAGGCCCTGGCCCTGGTTGTGGCCAGCCTGGCATCTTTAGGACCTGGGAGGCCAATCGATTTTGTGACCCTGAGTGCAGTGCTCTCTGAGGAACATGTGGGGAAAGGCATTCCCTCAAGTATGTGGGCCCCTGACCATAAAGGGCTTTAAAGGTAAGTCCCAGCACCTTGAAGCGAATTCGGTATGCTATCGGCAGCCAGTGCAGTGCTTTCAGCACAGGCTGGATGTGCTCCCGCATAGGGAGGCCCATCAGAAGCCTGGCTGCAGCAGTTTGCACTACCTGTAGCTTCTGGACTTGGGTCAAGGGCAGCCCCATGTAGAGAGCATTACAGTAGTCCAGTCTCAAGGTGACCATCAGATCGAGCATGTGTCCGGCCCGGCAAGTGGGAGTCGTTACATATTGGGAGAGTCTCAGCGCCACCACAGATGACACTAGGTCCATCGCCTGAGGCCACATCGTCCGCATGGACATTGAAATCACTCAGGACAATTGGGGTGTTCCAATGCCCAGGTCTCCACCAAGGATGGCAGGCTGCTGGCTGGTTCTTTTTTCATCAAAAAACAAAAGCTAAAGTAAAAGCAAAGACAAGTCTTACCTTATAGTAATTATGTTTTGTTGTCATAATTATTACTTTATGTTTGGTTTTTAATATGTTTTTGCTGTTTTATTATCTGCAGTATGTGATTATTTTTAAAAGGGAATCTTTTTTGCCTTAAATTTTGTACAATAATGAAAACATTGTCCTCTATTCATTAAAACATTCAATAAAAAGGATATGCAATCCTTTTATCTGGGTCACATCTAACTATGGGGCTGGCGGAAGCCAGATAATAATTTTTAATGAAGTCCTAGTTTTACATTTAAAACACTATCTTATCAGTAGGCTGACATTAAATTGTTCAGTGATTTGTCATTTTTTTGTCAGTATTTGGCCAGTTTTTTTGGAATTTTGGTCAGTAAAATCAGTATTTCTGACCCTCTGACTAGTTTCCACCCCTGTAGTAGAAGAGAATCTTATACTGATCCTCACAGAAGAGGAAATCCTTTTCATTTGAAGTTTATATCCTGCTTCTTCCCTTGAAGGTTTAGAACTGGTAACCAGGTTTCCCTCTAAGCTGAGTTAGTGTGAGCTAGCTTACAGTTTTTCAGCCTCTGGCTTACACATTTTGTCTTAGCTCAGGAAGGATGGCTCCGGAGCAAACTCATTTTTTTATGCCCCCTGTAGGGGATTTTTTTATTTGCATTTTCTGTAAACTACAACGAAAAATGGGGGAGGGATCTACATACTATGGGAGAAAGTAAAGAAAACCCACTAAAAACCCAAGAGATGGTGGTCATACATACTGCTTAACAAATTAGCTTTTAGCTAAAAGATCGATTCACGTTCATTGAATGTGGTCATCTAGTAGTCATTTTATACTATAAAATAAATTTAAACACCACCACTTCTGACTTCTTAAAGAGCAATCCAAGAAACAATTATAACAATACATTGTAAGAGCTTTCAGAGTGTAATAACATCTCATTTTTTATACTTTTTCTTCCTCAAAAGATAGTTTGTCTTCGGGGCAGCTGCCCCTGATTTGGAATCTGAGTTCTCATCTGAAGATGCCACTGCTCCTTCTTCTTCACTTTCTTTGGTGCTGTCCTTTTTCTCGCCTTTGGTGCTGTCCTTTTTCTCGCCTTCAGAGCAAACTCATTTATGCAGTAGCCAAATTACTTGCCTTTCATGCCAGTAGCTCACAAAGTAGAATGTTTGCTCACAAGACTCCACATCTTAGAGGGAGCATTGCTGGCAACATAAATTATCACGTATAGAATCCTATATATATATAATTCCCTTAAGTATTGGCTATTTCCAGCTCTACCATTGGCTGTGCAGTGTGTTCCATCAGCCATTGGCCCATCAGCTGCCAATCAAGAGTACTACTACTCTCTCCCACCCACTGCTAGTTTAGCCACTTTCCTGTCAGAATAAACTGAGAAAACGGCTGTCTCTCCTGCTTGGCTCCACCATGGCTGGTTGGCT